ATAATTTAACAAACAGGGCATCACACCAACTAATGCTATTATCAAAATAACAGTTCGGCATACAATGATGTTAATACTCCGTCGACAGGTTGAGCAAATTATTCATAAAAGTATCAACACTACCACAATCAACTACGCTCTATGGGAGGTTCTTCCAGTCTAGAATTGTTCTGATAAAAAATGAGTACTTGAAAGTGACATTCTTCGACCTTCATACCTCCAGTTGTGCGGGCCTTACCACACCGCGCAACTGGTAGTAGAAAAAAAAAAGGGGGGGGGGGGGGGGGGGTTCACTCTGTCAGTGAGGTATTGCTGGAATGGCGACTTAGAGAAAGCTCGTTGGCGGCATACGAACGCGTCTCTCCGGATAGGCATAAAAATACGCATGCTCGATTTCTCGTGCCTCGCCCATAAAACGCTCGTAACGTATTCCCGAGACGGGAAGCGACGGGCAGCCATCTATTTTATTTCCAACTGACACGCATCTGCGGTGATAACATTCCAAGCCAGTATCACCGTATATTCTCTGTAGTGCAGGCGTACTGCGCCTTCAACGTAATCCCATCCAAAGATTCCTGCCACAACTATTTCGTCCATATCACGCCGTAGTCGTCCTTTTCTGTCTCTGAGTTATTTAATAATGGCTTCCTTAAAAGCTTTCGAAACAATGTTACATGAGAATCTACGGCAAACAAAAAGTAATGCAATTACAAGGATACATTATTCCAGAAAATGAAAGTCGGGGTGCATCCATTTCGTCATTACTCCGGTGGCTCGTCTGCCACGAGCGGTGGCGGTTTTGTAGTGATTTTACGCGATCTAAGTGGCGTTTCTAAAGCGAGCATGCACTGGCGGCCATAGCTGTGTGCGCGACTGCCGAGCGCGTGCTGATGGTGAGCTCTCACAGCTCTTTCGCAATGTGCATTTCACACCATCAAGGCTGCCTGTCTTAGCAACCTATTAATTATGAGCTCGTGCTGAGCATGCACTCAAACAGTGCCTTCAAATGTAATGGCCAGTGAACATAACTGAATCCCGGGAAAGTTGCGCGCCAAGATCTCCGTATGGTCGCCATTTTGGTTCATGAAATGAGCAATTTCCCCTTGACTTCTTCATTCTTGGTGAGCCGATCTAAATTTGGTGGTGACGGCTAGATAGACGTTTTTTGAATACCGAGATTTTGCTCTCCACACACCGGCGAAACAAGGTTCGTACCGCCACCACATACGACGCCGGTGCTTGAAGGCATCGAAAAATAATTTTCCTCTCTTGAAATAAGCAAGAAGAGCAATATCATTCAAAGAGATCTATGTGATAAGCAGGATTGATAAGTCAATTGCTCGCACAGCGTCAAAGACGCGTATATTAGCGAGGAACGCTTTCAGAACGATGATGCTCCCTGGCGATCTTGGCGCGACAATAGTTGAAAACGACTTTTTGCAAGCTTCCAATATTCGAATGGACCACGATGGCAATTATTCATGGCAACTGAGACAGATCAGCCAATCACCTTGCTAAGTTTGGTCGTCTGTGTTGGTATTCGTGTGTGTGCGGCTAGCAGGCAGCGAGGGCAATGACGCCATGTCTTTCAATAGTAATAATTAGTGTCACTAAATAAGCTAAGCTTCAGAGTAACGATACTTACCCATCTTGTGTCTTAAATCATGGTTGTCAGTTATTAGAAGCCTTATCTGATATCATAGGAAACAATTTTGCGTCCTCCACAAATCTTTAAACAGTTCGCGACGGAGCGGACCAATAATACATTAGCTTACTAACACCGAATCTAATGCTGAGGAAGTCGCACATTTGAATCATGACGATCGGCAGTTGCGTCTGCTCTGCAGAAGTACCAAAATGGCGGCGCTCACAACAATATCGGGGAACAGAGTGCCGGCACTGTAAGCGTAGCTCATTTAGTAACTTTAGGAATAACCAGCAACACTTCAGGATGGTGTCGCGTGCAGGTCATACCATTAAAATATTTTAATACCCCCTATCTTTTTCGGAAAGCTTCTCCCATCAAAATCCTCAAAAACCTCCTCCTACAAAAAAAAAAAAAAAAAAATTGTGATTGGGTCGGTTTTAATTTTAGTGAACAGTATAAGAAAACAAATCATCTGAAATGTTGGATAGCGTCAGTGTACCAAACGGCAATTAGATAGAAGCCTCAAGCTTATTTTTACATCAAGAACATGCTACGTTAGAAGGCACTTCTTTCTTTTAGTTATATTATTTTAGGGGCATGAAATGTCAGTTCTGCCGGCATACCTGTCTGTATGGCACCCTGCCTTTCCGCAGAAGTCGCACGCCCTTCATGCTTCCTTTTTTTTTTTTTTTTTTTTTGTGTGCTATAAAGTTTGAAATATGAACTGATAAGCCAAGAAATTCACCAGGGAGCATGCTCGGTTTCCCGCCTTTTTTTACATCCGTGTGCAGATTTCTTCAGTGGCGGTTATGCAAGCAATAGTATCGCTCGTAATCACTTTTGCCTTGTTTAGGTGTCTCCTTTGGCTCAGTTTTGTAAATATATCTTGTTCTATGTGTCCTAGGCTTCCCCATTCATTTTCCCAGACTCTTGTTCGCCTGTCAAGACAAGAGGACTTGGTGTAACTTTCTGTAATAAACATTTATTCATCATCATCATCATCATCCATGGGCGTCGGCAGGATTTTTTCTTGGTGGGGGCAAAACTTTCGCACGCGACATTCCTTTTTTTTTTAATTTGGGGGCCCGGACGGGGGGTGGGGACCGGGGTGTAGTTAATACATTTCCGCAACAATTTTACAATGTATTATACGTATAAATTCTTAAAACGAATCTTGGCTTAAACAGTGCTTAGTTCGCAGTCCTAATCGCTTCTGTAAAAAGGCCCCCACAAGTAATGTGACATCTCTCGATTTAGCTCCTGCAGCCCGGACGTAAAACTGTTGTGAATAGTGAACGGGGCATGAACATATCACCTGGACCAACCTGCTATCACTGACGAAGGGACCACCGGTCATTTATTAATTTTTAATATTCTGCAAAACGACAACTAAATAAGAACTAAAATATATATTCTTGGCTGCCCATTCATGTACTTTCAAAACACGAGGAAATATGCAAGCAAGGAAGCTTCTCTACAACGTTTCCAGTCTTCGAATAAAATCCAGTTCAAAGATGCCATCGACGAACTAGACTTCCTTCATGACATTTTCGTTTCCCCGATGAAGTCTGTCTTTTCATAATACTCAAAATATGAAGAGAGAGAAAGCTTACCCTATTGAAAAATCCGGCAAAAACTTCCAGTGACATTCGGTGGAAACGGGTTATTTTCCACTCATTTTCACCAGAAACCAGCGTGGTTTACCAGTTTTTTGGTGGAAATATTACCGGCCGCCACTTTCAGTAACCAGATTTCGGTGGACGTTTTACCGGAGTAGATAACACTAAAATTAGTGTGCGAGCGTAGAAGCTACACAACTCCGAAACAAACAAATCGTTTCACTTTTGGTAACGCGAAGTCATAAAAGCTCAAGATTTATAATAGAGAACCAAGCTGAGGAAGCACCGATACCCCAAATACAAAGACCGAAAATGCATATCCCCGATTATAATTTGTTTCAGGGTGCCTGGTATCACTAACGTTTCTAATGAGCTTTTTTTTTTCTTTTTTGTTTTGTAAATGTAGCTACTTATATAAATATATTTTCCTCAGTAAATCTCTCCTCCATCACCTCAACTTATAACTATAGTTCAGAGAATCTATATAAATTAATGGGGTTCTTCCTGTTATATTTAAAAAAAAAATGATGTTAGAGTGCTGTTGGCTATCTTTGCGTAAGTCTTGTATTTATCTGGTCAACTTTAGTTTGCCTGGAACTCTCTCTAGGCGTACCTGTAACAGATAAGTTGAGGGTGAATCCTATATCAAGCTGAATTTTGGAGGCAAAGGTTGCTTAGGAGTGACTGTGACAAGGATTGCCTCAATAGAATTCGACTCCGAGCCCCGGCAGAGGTCAGAGGTGACTGCTTTCTTCGTCCCACAAAATGAAAAGCCGCGGTCAATGTAATTTTTTCGGTAAAACGAAGACACCGATAAAGAAATCCAGAGCTGACAGAATAGTGACGCTTGCTACGAACTTTCAGAAAGAACAACAACTGTACGGTTGCGAATGTGGACTGGGCGGTCTCTGACGCGCCTTTCCCTGGTGTCAAACGGTGAGACAGTAAATTATGGCCCAAAGGTCAGTTGAGTTGATGACTTGGTGCGAACATAATTTCGTGCAAACACAAACGCCCGACCCCTGACCCCCCCCCCCCCCCCCCCCCCCCTCCTCCCCCCCTTAACCTGCTCAGAAGGTCATGTTCACCGTCGCTCATGGCTTGCTCCTCAGTGAATTGTCTCGAAAACACGGGGGCGAGGCAGTCTGGCTTGTTGCACCCCCCTGTTGCAGCCCCCTGCGGACGCCCATGTCATCATCCTATTTGCCTGCTTTTCTGACGGCTACTCTTTCAGATTTAAAAGTGAGGCATTTGTTTGTGTTGTTTAAATTACCGCTCAACAGAAGCTAAATAAGTTACTAAAATTATCCGCTCTTCAAGCAATGCTCATTACTAAAAAAGAATATACAGCAAAGTAACTAGTACAAGCTTAGGCTCAAACTCAGTGAGTGTAATCGAAAAAGGTTGTCTGCTGACTCAGACATAAATAAAAGATTCTGATGACTCGAACAGATGTGTCCGCAGAAATAGCCATGTTGGCTGGCCTCCCCATCACTAAACGAGTTTATTACCGAAAAAGAAAGGTGATCACTGCTCAGCAAGGGTTTTATGATGCCATAATAATAACATATGCATAGCGTATGCTACCTTCCCGATAAATAAGAACCACTGCGTATAGCAGATTTAGCCGCAGCTGCAATGTTGTCTGCAACTACCCGTAGCAGACGACGTTGGAACACCGGAAAAAGCGTCTCGACATAGTAGGTGGCGCGAAGAGCGTTCTTTACGCACGTATTTATTTTTTGGATTATTGACTTCCGCTATGCGGAGTGCTTCAGCGAAGATGAAGTTTCGAAATTTTACGATGTGAAGTTTTACTTTTAGCGTGACATAACACCGTCACCATGGACGAAAGAGACGTAGGTCACCAATCCGCAAATGGAGACACTGAACGTGAGTTCCTTGTGAGGGCCGAAAGGCTTTCGCGATGCACTTAGGCTTAAATGTAACAGTGTTTATGACGGAAGACCGTGCATCAATCGCTCAGCACCAGACCTCGGTGACTGCCCAATTTCATTTGGGTCCACGTTATTCATGTGACAAAAAACGGCTTTCCCGACACCACGTAATGTCGGCGACCTCGCCGAACTCGCAAATCAGCTGATTGAGTGAGAATCACGAGCTTACGGATACATCTAGTAGTTAGGAGAAGTATGCTGTAATATTGGCTTGTTTACAACCTCCGACAGTTCCAAATTTAACTGCCACCTTTGCACAGAAATAACCTAGCAAGGGTAACTGAGTCCGGGTAGGTTTTTCTGCGCTACTAATTTGACGTTTTATTTTTCTCCTAGTCGCATTTCGATTGTTTTGCTACAAATCAATGGTCGTCTTATTCCATCGCTTTTTGTAGTTTTACAGTGGAAATGGGGGGCAAAAGAAAGGAATGCTCTAATATTTCTTACCGGTTACATTTCTGAAACGCATAGACTGGTCGTGGCCTGGTAGCTGTATACATTCAAGGGAACGTAATCGAGAAACCGCACTGACTTTTCTTTATTTTGTTTTTGTCTCGCTGGTGTATCATTCCATGCTCCGTTTGGTTAGTTCGCAGGCATTCCAGTGTCGATTTCCGCGTGACATCAAACGTAACGTATTTTAACACTTCGTAATCTGAAAATTTGTTCCTGGACTACCCTTTGCCTCTAATGAAATGAAACCCACATTATAGTAACACGAGACACGGACGCAGGCTGGGAAAACTGTCTGCGTTACAGCTTGCTGCAGCTGTTGTCGCAAAAAAATAGCAGCGTGCCATCTTACAAACTCGGTAGCGTTTTTATGTGTTTGCTCACGGTTTGCACATCGAACGTACCAGAGTCCAAACTGGGGAAGTGCTGGGAGAAGCACCTTGATATAGGTGAAATGTCTTGCTTCGTTTTTGTGCAAGGTGTGTTGTTTCATGGGAGGAGCTGGGTAGAGGGACTTCTCAGCACGTCTGTCTCTTCGTGAGTCGTTACAGCATTTAAACAGGTGGTAGCCCTTTAAAAGCCCAGAAGAAGTATTTTTTTGAGAGCAGGTCTCATTAAATTTGAACGTATTCTCAGCTTCAGGCAAGAGCCCCTTTGTATTGATGTTGGAAAAGCTGCACAATTTCTCATACTCATCTACAAGCAGTGTGTTAGAGTGTCATTACACAGACCTGCATGTTGTCACAATTTTTTGCTTGTGTATGTGTTGCTGAGTTTGAAGCAGGTTGTCTGTAATGAATGAAGCAGTTTAAACACTTTCACGGGCAGCGATATTTTGGAGTTACCGTAAAATCTTGAGAGATAGCCCAGCTAACATCAAGAGCAAATCGGGTGAAAATATGGAGAGGGCTAACTTCAAGAAAAGTAAAAAAAATTGCTATTTTAGGTCATCTCCCTTCCAAGCTTGTTATGGTGGCGAGGGACGACGAAGCAAAGATGACTGTACTTCCCACTCAGCAACGTTCGCTTATGTCCCGCCATAGCTAACTAGCTGCATTTACTTTGAGGCCATTATTGATCCCAACACTACTATTACTAAGTGTGGGCTATCTTTTTATGTTTGTCCGTCCCTTTTTGTCCCAGTCTCGGGGTTTTTGTCGAAATGGCTATCTTTCGGTGTTTGAAAAAATATAGCAAATCAAGCCAAAAATAGGGGTGGGCTATCTTTCGGGGGTGCGGCATTTCTCGGGGTTTTACGGTATACAGAAAGCTTTTTGGGTAAATTCTTTACTGCCAATAACACCCGTTTTATATTATGTTATTTGTACAAAACAATTTTTTAAAATTATTTCTATCAAGATTTTTTTTTTTCACACATATGTAATAGTGGAAGTTGTCTCAGCTGTTTTCATCACTCTAGTGTGTACAAGAAAAAATAAAAAAATTGTCAGTGTTTTTTTTTTTTAAATTTTAAAACTAACCTATGTACTACCAAAGGCCATTCACCGCCGAAATGTAGTGCTAGCTGTCTGGACGAGATGCCAAAGTTTCAGAAGTAATCTTTATCTTATTCAACCATTGGAAGTGATTTCCTGAAATTTACAGTGGGAAAATGGCAGCCAACGAAGCCCATGAATACATGAAGATGTATGGCATTAACTACTGTGAAGGGGCCCCATTTTTCCATTGAATATTTCGGAAAAACCCTTATAACTTTTCGATGAGATAATGGCACCTCTAAAACTTTAGCGTTTGGTCCAGAAGGCTAGCGCTACATTTGGGAGGAGACAGCATTTGGCAATGTATAGTTTACATTGGTGTGTAGTTTATATTGGAATGAAGCATTCTTTTTTCTTCCTATAATAATGAAGGGGATGTTTGACATGCATGTGCATCAGCAATTTTCCTATTATGTCATTGCATATTTAGGTAAGAGAAATGAATGAGGCTGTCAGCTTTCACCCTGAGCCTTTTTGCATATGGTATTGGTCAAAAGATTGAGGCCATGTCATTTTGAAAGAGGTCAACCTATGAAAATTTATGAAAATAGTTGTAGCAATAATTTATGAAAATAGTTGTGGCAACACTTCAAAGCTTGTAGCAAGCTTTGAAGTGTTGCTGCACTGTGGTAAGGTTTTTCAGTCATTTTTCCGAGGGACCTATTCTTAGCTTGACTCAGAAGAAGAGATACCTTTCTTTAGGGACTATACTTGAAACACCACACATTCTCTTACTTGTTGACTTTGTGAAAACCTTGTCAAGAATTCTTTCTATGGCCTTGTTTCATCAAGCAAGAAATAATTTTCTTAAAGGCTGATGTTTACTTTGCCGTTCTGCCCTCTGCTTCCTCACCGGCATCTTGATCTGGGCAAGGCAGAGAGAGAAGCTCTGGCGCTATTCAGTTCTCTTCAGCATAAAAACACTTTCCGAGAGTTTTTCATTGAGAATACAAGTTCCCTTTTTCCCCATTTTTAACCAGTGTCACCAATCAAAGCTTGCCAAAATCAGTAACCTAGAAAAAATCACCCTAAGACATGTCCATGGGAACAAAATGTATTGTTGTATGTAACCACTGCAAGAGCTCAAAATTCTGCTCTATGGGAGATTGCATTTTCATTGCAGGTTTATTTTTATGAAATAACATCTGTAACAAGTAAACATTTTTAAGGTTTGTTTTTCTTACGCAGTTGGTACCAGTTTCACAACAATGGACATTCCCACATAAAGGGGACATAACTGTCCATTGAGACGAAACAACTGGACGGCAAAAACAAACTTCAAAAATGGCACTGTCCCTGCCAAAACAGGGCGTCTGGTCACTCTAGCTGTGGTGATGGAACGCTCAAGCCTTGGGTACATACTTTGTTTTTCCTTCTCTCTTCTACCATGAAGAGAAGGACAGGTCTCATCTCTTGCACACTAATGAGTAACATTGAAAGGGGAGAGAGCATTGGTCGAGAAGGAAACTGCACATCTCAAAACCTTACCAGAAGAGGACTAAGTGCATTCATTTCCAGGGATGATTATATGCCTCAAGGCTAGTTCACAGATCCATGTCTGAGTGTGATTGACTATTAAAACATTACGCCAGATTCCTTGGCTTTAGTCATCCTATCTGGCGGGGACGAGGATGTGGGTGAGGCAGGAGAAGTAATTGCATCGGACGAGGCCCGCTGACTTGACAAATTCAAGTGGCGACATCTATCCAACAGCCTTGAAGTGCTTCCAATCTATCTGTAACTGTATTCGACGTATACTGTTTTCTACTACATTGTCAAGGGTAGCGTAGCTTCCACAGTGCTGCAGACCATCATTGCTGCGACAGCGCGGGCACGTGCCTTCCTTTTGCATTTGAGCACGCTCGTGCAAGTAGGTTCGAAAGCGTCGTAGCACCGCAGAAGCTGCGCTAGTCTCGACAGAGTAGCACAAAATAGTTGACGCCGATCGTAGACAAAATTTTGCAGTATATGCTAGATCAAATTTGCTGGCCATCTATGAGAAGCAGTCGCTTATGACATTGTCAGAATCTTTTCGAGCCCACGGTAAAAGAATTGATGCATAAAATATATGCAGGTGGGAAGTGTTCCAGGGTCACACTCAAGCGCAGACATGTGAACCAGCTCTTATTCTCGAGAGGTTTGAGGGGGGGGGGGATTTATGAAAAAGGTTTGGCAAAGCGAGTCGGGGACAAACATTTTCTGCATATAAGCTGAAGAAAACATGCTCATTTTTTCATCTTTTATAGTAACCGCCCTTGTCGGAAGGCAGGGTGGACATTAAAGTCTCTTGAGGGGCTCAACTCTGAGCGATGTCCCGTGGTGTGTTTGCCGTGCAGAGGAAGGCACGCTGCTGGTGCAGCTGCGCAAGGAGAAGGAAACCATGGAGGCAGAGTTTGGCCTTAAGAGGGCCAAGTTCAAGGAGCTCTTCATGCAGAAAGAAGGTAGGCTTATGCCACGAAAGATGAGAGAGGCTTGTGGGAAGTGGACAGATTCTCTCCGCCGGCACGATCCACTTTGCTCTGCGACTCCGTCGCTCCTTGTTTGCATGTTCGGTCGCAATTTCATGTAAATAACTTGCACTGTGTCATGGTCTTTATATGGAGCAGTTGAGGAGAGACAGTAGACCACAGTGTAGCAGCCCTTAAACGAGAAAGGTGTGTTTACTCGTTGCTCTATAATTTTTTAACCCTGATCTCTCTACGAGGCAAATAATAGACCACTTGCTAAATCCCCCAAGTGTCCTGGTCCTCAACCGAGGAATCATGGGAACGGTATTTCTTCAATTTTTTAGTGAATGCTAATTTCGACCTGAATAAGTGTTGTGTAGATTGCAGAGACCTGTCATATCACTTCTGAAATTTCTTGTCAATGTCAGCGTTTTTCACACTGCATGCAATCCACACCTCAACCTGGCTGACTCGCAAAAATCTCTTACAATGTTATCAATTTAATGATTATTGTTCTAGCAGGAATGGCTTAAAAAGCCGAGAATTCGCACAAACCAAAACCAGGATTTAGCTCGGAGTCAGCGGGGCTGTTTATTGCATTTTTAGCGTTTCCAAGTTAATATCGGTGCCTTTGAAGCTGTATGAAAATGATAGTATTGTAAGAGATTTCTGCACTTTGGGCCAGTTGAGGGGTAGATTGCATGCACAGTATCTGAAATGCTGAGATTGATGAGAACTTTTGAAAGTTATATGAAAGATTAAAAGGCTAAAAGGCATGAACAAACAGGACGAAAAAAGAGACACGTACGACACGTCCTGTTTGTTCGCGCCTTTTAACCTTTTAATTGATATGAACAAACTAGCCCCAACCAAAGTTTTTTTATGAAAGGTCTTTGCAATCTACAAAATGCCTATTCAGGATGACGCTGGATTACACTCAAGAGTGTGTAAGCATCAAATTGGTCTATATTACCGACCATTAGGGAACCAAAGGAACACCAATTCCATGACTCCTGGAGTGCGGGCCGGGGCACTTGGGGGATTTAGCAAATGGTCTATTACCTTTTATTGTCAGCTTCGCTCACTTTATTGCCATTTTTGGAACTTCTAGAGTAGCCGTGCACCCCAACGCTTGCATATACTTTAAACGTGCAACCTTGGAGTAGGATGCTACACGCAGCGAATTTCTTTTAGCACTAGTACGGTGCTGGAACCGGAGAAAATGTCGAGCACCGACAGTGTTCCCTACGCAAGTGCCACGTCTCGATGCAGCAACCCGCCGATCATTCTTTACCTTGCAAGCGAGAGCATCCGTTACTTCTCTGGATCTTTTGTCCTTGTTTGAGTGGCAGTGAGCAGAATCTGGGGTGTCTGCCCCCAAAATACAGAGTGGCTTTAGACACGAAAGGTCAAGGAGCCTTTCTTGCATTCCAGCTGGTACGTTGGATTATTAATGTGAAACCATTAACTGTCCCATGGAGCGAGCCGACGTCATCAGCTTTGAAGCCGTGCCAAACGGCACTTAAACTCTCTCCAAGTGAGGCCGTGATCTGATGGCTCCCAGCTTTGAAGCCGCACGAAAAGCCTTGCCAAACGGCACTTAGTTTCCTCGCTTCCAGTGGAGCGCAGTGAAGCCGAAATTTGATGGATTTTGGTTTCACTGCTATTAACTGGCGCGCGTCATAGTTTTAAGGGACGAGGCTCCCCTCTCATTGGACGCTGCGCGTCAGTTTCAACAACTGCCACCCCATGGTGCTACGTGTCCGCGCCGCCAGCGCGCCAGTAAAACAAAGCGTTTGCCCGTCGAGCGAGGCAGCGGCTCCATTGTCGAGGTCAGCGAGGCGAGGAGAGCGCATGTTGGCCATCCACGCCACTACACCACATACGAAATAAGAGAGCGAAAGAATGACACGCATGCTTTCGCATGCACAACTCATAAGAAGTGCTTAGGTGTACCTCGAGGCTTTTGTGCATTGCTGCGTGCGTCCTGCAGAGGAGCTGCAGGGGGAGCGAGAGCAGCGGGAGGCCCTGGAGGAGAGCCTGCGGCGCCTGCAAGCTGAGCTGGACGAGGCCCGCTCCCTCACAATGGTGGCCGAGTGCCAGCGGGAGAACGAGCTCGAGACGGAGAGGCGCAAGCACCGTGAGGAGCTTGCCTCCTTGCAGCACATCCTCAAGGGTGAGCAGGGCTCCGCCCTTTAACCCGTTCTAGCGAGCGGGGTCTTCACTACATTGGTATCCCTCGGACACTTTTTATACGTGGGACTCTTTTAGGGGAACCAGAATTGTTAAAAAGAAAAAAAAAAAGAAAAAAAGAGAACTTGCATGAGGTTTTTTTTTCTTTTGTCCTGGCACTAAATTGGGGGACTGGGGATTTAAAAAAAAAAAGAGACAAAATTGGTTAATTTCTTAGCTAATTTATGAAAAAGTGGCTACCAAATTTTTAAGTTTCTCGGAGAAGGGCCATCGTGTAGTTGGAGAGCTGACGCTCAATCTCATTGCAATCTGAACGTGACGTGAAATTTTGATTAAAAATTTGTAGTGTGTACTACGGGGCAAGAAACGTCATCCTTGTGAGTGGTTTCAAACCGAAACTAAGCGCGGGAAAAGCACCCGTGACATTGTTTCCTCCACTGTGCACCGGTTCCGCAACTGATGTGCACGTGCCACAGGGAGCGTCGGCAGTCTTATGCAAGCACAAAGTAGAGAAATCGACATCCCAGGCACTCTTAGGACAACATTTCTTGCCCGTTCACCTTTTGGGGGTCATGTGCGTTTTCCACTTGTAGGCACCTCTATAGTCCGTTGCCACTCAAGAAGGCAGGGTGAGGGAAAAAAAGGCCGGGGAGGAGGAAGCAGATGGAATGCTGGAGAGAGGAGGATGTTTCCCCCTCTCCTCTCCAGCATTCTGTCTGCTTTCTCCTTTCCAGCCTTCCTTTCCCTCGTCCTACCTTCTTGAGCTATAACTTTCTATGGTCAGAATTATTTTAAGCGGAAAAGAGATCGAAATCAGTGAGTGACTTCAAATTCAGCTCTTTAATATATTACAATCAGTATGTTAAGTTTGAAATAATTCTGCATTGTCCTGAATGTTTTCATTTGAATTATTTAACTGTACTAGCGGTAATTGCGCAGTGCATGATACTTTTCAAAGCAAATGCCGGGGTGCAAGCCAGGGTGTTGAGTGCAGCTTTTACAGTAGAAAACATTTTCATGTCTTTGCCTTTTGACTTTCTTGTCACTGCAGACTGCGCAGCAAATTACTAGAATACTTAGTTGGGAAGCTGCCATAGGAGCCTGCTCTGAAAAAAAGGACTCCGATCCATACTCGAGAACCAAACTAAACACGATCGCAACGCCGCCGTTTCACCCGCAGCGGTCACTCTGGGAATTGCATGGCTGCACGTATTGGTTCCGGTCTAGTCGTGCAAGGGCCGGTGGCACCATCTTGCTGGGCTATCTCGCAGTAGCTATATAAAGCAACTTTCATGTTTTGACTCGTCGCTAAAGGGTGGCACTGTTATCGTATCTAGTTCGGTCTCGGTGCACGCCAACGGTTCAGGTTTAAAGGGGAAGTTTCCCAACTGAATGTTTCAGCAATGTCGCTACACAGTCTCTAGACTGCGCAGTCCATGAAACACAAACGGAGTAAAGGCTGCAATCTTAAGCACCCAAAGGCTTAGCCGAAATGCCAGTCTGTACATCTAGCAGAAAAGATGTGTCGCGCCACTAGCAGCACCTGATAGAGAACAAAAAGCTCAGTATTCATAGTTTACATCTTCGATGAGAGATGGCGCAAGTTGAAATTGTCAGGAGACGCCCATTGCTAGACTGGAAAGGAGAAATTGGCCTGTTGTGGGAGCCTCAACACTTGTCCAGAAAGGGAATTTTTATTGGTCGGGAGATACCCTGCAGATGATCCCAGAGGATTAAGGGGGGACACTGCTTGCAAGGTGAACTTTTGAACCACTCATTCAATCGACGTGACATTTTCAGGTGGTGTTTATAGCCATATAGAAGGAGGGCATGCAAAGATTCAGCCCTGTGAACCAATTTTACGAGGAACTATACCCCCAGAACGAAGTCAAGCATGGAATCTGCTCAATGAATCTATCGCTGAGAAATGGCGTTGATAACCAGATATTTTTCTGGTGAAAAGCATACTGAAATACCTGTTACTGGTTACTATAAAATTTCAATAAATATGCAGTTTCTAAATAAAAATAATATGAAAACAATTTTTGTTCTTTCACATTTACCAAGTTTTGTTAATTACAATTTTTCATAATAAAGAAACACGAAAATGTAAAATCTAAGTTCATAGTAACCGTCCCCACAAAGTTTCGAGATATAAGCCGCAAAAATTGAAGTCTCTCGATAGTTCCATACTGAAACGATAGATTTTATTAAGTGAAATTTATGCTAAAAAGTGGAACAAAGATAAATGCTTTCAGAGTGTTCGAACCTCAACCTTTTTTTTTTTAGCATCGGTGGACTGAAAAGAATTTATAAAAAAAAACTATGCAGTGTAAACAAATCAAACTTTCTGGGAATACACTCTAGATGTTGGCAGATGTAAATATGGCATTTTTCAGAATCATATTTTTTTTACAGAAAATATTTTTTCTCTAAGTAGTATCCCCCCTCAAAGGGCCTTTTTTTTTTCCTTTTCCTTCTCTAGTTTGAAGACTCTTCGGTTTTTTCTTAAAACTACCCTATGTCTTACTTCCTCTGAAATATTAGACAAATATAAGCAGGCAAATAGAACTGCACAGTCACGTGAATCAGTCGGTGTTCAATAAGCTCACCCACCATATAAGGCCAAGACCGGCAGAAGCACCGTAACATTGCTTCGCTGAGGCCAGAGTTGGCATTTTACGTCATTGTTTCGGTACTGGTTGTATCGGAGGCCCTACAGTTTTAGGAATTCTTCCACGATTAAAAATAGAAAGAATGCCGCTTTGTCGCTGGAGCAATTCATCCTTTGTCTCTTTCGCTGGCAGATTGGCCAGGCACTAACTGGATGCAAATTGAGCGTCACATGCGCTGCATGATGGTTCCTACTTAGCTTGGAGTGCAGCAAAGGCTGCGGGCACAAGGTTACAACTTTGAGAGGTGCTGATCCTGTTTGTTAGCACATGTAGAGAAAGCAGCAACCGAAGCTACAAGCTCAGACTCACTTCGGTCCACGGTAACCATGGGATTTAGCGCCAGGTCCGCAGACCTCCAGACTTGTCCGTAGTGACGTCAAGGTCACCTGATACACACATCCCTCTGGTCTGCAGACAGGTTCCTAAGATAAGTCCACCGTGTGATTGCACCTTGAGTGCCCAATACAAACTTATTAATAAAAATTTCACATGATAATGAGGTCAAGCATCAATTCTCCAGCCACATTATGCCCCCAAAATTAAAAATTTAGGTGGTTAATCAAACCTTTTAGGTCAATTAGCGAACTAATAAACTAATTTCATTTCTTGTTTTAGTGGCCCCAGTGATCCCCAACTTGACCCATGGCAAAAAAAAACCCTAACAAAGTTCCCTTTTTAAAAAATTCTGAACCCACTGAAAGAAAACATACTATATAGCATGTATGTGTATCCCTATGTAGGGGTATGTATCTTATATATCCTCATATAAGGTATCCCTGGCAAGCACACAAAGAATTCTTTGTACGCTCACTAGGGACCGGATGGTTTGGATGTGGGATTTGACTTTCTCACGCACTCCACCAAAGAATGAAACTGTGTTCTGTTTTTCTTTTGTGCCACATTCGGAGAAGGCTAAAAGTGTGTGGTTAAGACCTTGGAACACTCTGATCCAGCATGATGGCTCATGCAGTGTGTATTCAGAAGCTCACTATCTTAGACTACCCTGGGTTTTCTACTGATAGTGTTAAAAGGCGTACAAAAATCTGTTACTAGAGATTGAATCTATGTTTATATGCTGTACGTTTTTACTATCATTACACTTATTAGTGCCATTATACTATGATTATTTTACTACCATTCACTGCACCCATCATTAATTACATCCTTACATCCAAGTGACTGGTTCATACAAGTGCTATTATTGTGGCAACCATTTTTTAAAAAATATTTAATGCACTGTTCTCTCAGAACACGACTACCTCCGATTTTTGTTGAGCATGCACTTCATAGGTGCACACGTAAAGTGGAATAACGTCCAAAGGGGAGCTTTGCATCTGCTCCCATGGGGCTCAAAATCGTGCTCAAGAAAAGTCTGAGGGGTTTATGTACATAGCCCATAATGGATGCTAACAACATTCCACATTTCCCTGTGGAAATTCCCATAATGGAAATGCCCACACTTACTTCCACAGAACATGCAGGTAAGTATAATTATTTACGGAGAACACAAAAAGAGAGCCATGATATAGGTAGCAGAATGTAATGTAATAGGACACAGCAAAGTATGTTAGTGGCAGGCAGATAGTGTTTACTCATTTTAACCTGCTAGTGTATATATGAAATTATAGCGCATATTTGTTCTGCCTAGTTGAAGGTGAAAACAAATTTAGCACCAATAACCATAAGCACCAACTATAATCAGTACTAAAGCTGAGGTTTATTGATATTTTGCATCCTTAGTAATGTAGAATTGCATTCTTACCAAAGCCGGCTCGGATATCTTGAGCCTCAATTGCGCCCGTACATTGTGGCCAGTAACCTAGCACAGTTGAAGGTGTTTTGGTGTTTTGTTTGGACAGTGGAAGGAAGGAAGAGTGAAGTGTTGCTATTATCATTTGACTGCATAGGTTGGGATTGTGAAAATAAATGTTATAAAATAAACATAATAAACATGCAATTTTCAAGTTTCTGCGGTAGGGGACCCCTGCCACGGGAGACATATTAAACTTTATCGTCGGACGCCTTTTTCGTAAAATGCAATTCTGCATATTGTGGTTTGATCGGCAGACCAAAATACAGCTTAAAATCTTTTTTTTTTCTTGCTTTCTCACTTTCACGCAGAAAACACACAAGAGGCGCTACGAAGCTCGAGTCGTTATGAGAAAGAAATGGCCCGCTACAAGAAGCTGAGCGAGAAGCTTGAACAGGATCTGCACGAGCTGAGGACACAGCAGGCCCAGGAGAGGTAAGGGAATGTATCTCTACCATTGTGATATCCTCTGGCAGAGCGTGCAACCTTTCTGAAAGTCTGATGGCATCACGAGTTCTTGAATTTCTAGGGGAGAAGAATTTTATATCTGGTAAGGAAAAACATGGTGTTTCACAATGTGCTGACAATATGTGTGGAAAAATTATTTCTATGTTGCCATTCTTCAAAGCCTAGTGTAAAGCCTAGTTTGAAGCTTGAGGACTCTTTGAAAACGTGCTGAAGGTTATGCATACTTAAAGGGGCCCTGCAATCATATTTAAGCGTCTACCTTTTTTGGGGTTTTCACGTCTCTTGTGGTTCGGGCAAACCAGCGGGCACGGAGAGAGGAACTAAATATCAGTGTCATATTTTAACCGGACGACGCGGAAACCTCCTCCACCGACGAGGGCGACCTGCGGTACCGAAAGCGCGCAAAATGTGACGTCTTTGGTCCTGAGCTTACTACTGGTCGGAGTTGCTAAAAGCTTCTTTTTAGTCGAAATACAAAATATAAGTAGCGCGAACCGTTTAAATTATTTAGAAAAGTAGTTTTTGTTCGGTAATTTAGATAAGAAAAAAACGAATGCAATTACGGAAACAAGAAATGGCCCGTCGACATACCCGCCACCAAGCGGTGGAAAAGGCGGCGCATACTAAAAAGGAGTAGTGGGATCAGGCGCCGACACGGAAAGGTCCCGGATGTACGCGGCGGCGCTCTGGTTGTATAGACAGGAGGATCCGACCGGCTCCGAGCGTTTTGAAGGCCTTCGGCTAGAAGCTTTGTCTTGCGGTTTGGCCGTTTTGCGGTATGGCAGCGCGAAGTGGCTCCCATTCTGAACTGATTTTTACCCCGTGTTCGCTGTCGTTTGTGGCAAATGAAGTGTCATGCCGAATTAGAGTTTAATCGTGCAGCAAATGCAATGAGAGCCGCTCTGGCCGCCCGCTGCATACAGCCTATCCAGAGCATGCTTTAGTAGCGCCCTCTCGCGCCGTCGACACAAAGTGCGGCAGCCGTGAGCGCTCGATGAGCTCACTACGCCTCCTCTAGTTCACGGCCACTCAAGTAGTCAAGGACGTCATGAGGGAGGTTATTTTTTGCTTGTTTTTGTAATTTTAATTTGCCTATAACTTCGAAAATAAAGCGAAATTCGAGAAAAGAAAAGTTTCATTAAGTTACTACGTTCAGTGCTCTCAGGTTCGGTGCAAATTAAAAAACCAGTAAGAAGTCCTTGCAGTGCCCCTTTAATGATCCCAAAGAACAAGCAGGAATTTAAGGATATATACTCACAAATGCAGGGGAGTTACTGTGCTGATGTGCCCACACTCTAAACTGCTTGGCTACCTAGGTATTGTTTCCTAAGTGTGTACAGTAGATGTAAATAAATAAAATTCTATGAACACAATAACTTTTCTGGGTGGAGAGATGTGCGAGCAAGCTGGGAACAGGCCCAGTGCAAACAGTCCCTGTGAAGCCTAGCTTGCAAACTGGCCAAGCTACTTGGTGGTGGTGTGACTAACTGTGAGCATGGCTGTCATATGTTCAACTTATTAAAATATTTTTATTTACATTAATATTTTTTTTATAGGGAAGCTTTTGGGCTTTATTACTCTTTCAAAATATTTAGATTTTCTTGAGACAGCTTGTCTGCCAATGTGTAGTACTAAAACTTTTGAACCTAAACACTTTTTTTTTTTTTTTGTCTATGCACTGCTACAAGCGATTTTTCTTAGTTTCATCTCAGCTTTGCACAGTCATATAGGGGATTCACTGGATGCTGTATTTGAGGGTACCGTTCAGAGCACCTGCTCAAAACGAGCACACGCTCATAGTCTGCTAAGACCGGCAATCTCAATGGTGTGGAATGCTCATCGCAAAAGTACTGTGGTAGCTCGCAGTCAGCTCGCATTTGCCAGCTACACACTCGGCTACGGCCACCAGTGGATGCCCTCTATGAAGGAGTGCCTTTGTCTTGCACGCTGGATAGGGTTAGAAGCAGGTGCATTGTGTCCGGCCCCAAAGACTGGCGGCGGCAGCTCCGTTTCTGATGATCGTTTTCTTTTTCCTTCTCTTCTCCCTCCTATCTCCCCTTTCCCTCTGCGGCTCCTCTCTTCCCCACCCAAAGGGAAGGCGTGCTAGCGGTGGTCACCAAGTCCCTAAAGCAGAAAGTGGGCAATCTGAGTCCTAACCCCTTTTCCTCTTCCAGCGATAACAGCGTGGAGAACCTAGAAGAGAGCATGCGCAAGGTAAGCGATGCACTCCCCATTCCCTTAGAGTTGTAAACAGTGATGGCCCTGTAACTGCCAAATGCAAGCCAGGCTTGCAGTTAGGTATATGTACAATGATTTCTCGTTGATATGGGCCCTGTTGAAGGCCTGTTTATACATACACTACTGCGCTACCTCAGTGCCGTTAGTCAGTGCTAGAAATGACACTGACCTTGCTGACGCTGTGTAGACTTTGTGTTACATTAGCGATACAGCGTTGCATCATTGCTAAGTTATGTTCAAGTCCGCACTGTTCCTAGCATTCATTTGGCCCTGCAAAATATCTGTTGACCAGCCTTAATAGAGATGCCTCGCTACTATATAGACCAGGGCTGGCCAGAGTGACCCGGAGTTAAAACTGCAGACAAAACTACAAAAGTTCAGAGAGCCGCAAGAAAAAAACGAAAACAAGGAAAAATATGGAAGGAACAATCCTTTTCAAAGGGGACAAGTATAATTGTCGACTACAACAAATAACACCTGGCACCAGAAGGTTCCTTCAACCGCTATGCAAAAATGAATGCATGGTTGCCTAGCCAGCCACTGCCCTTGTCGCCCTTTATGCATACACGGTTCGAAATTCGTCCTAGAACAATAAAGGGAACAGGGTCATTGGACACACCTGTGTGTCAAGAAACAGTCCAGCTGTATGTACATAGTATAGTACAAGGCTGCCAAGACTGAGTTTTTTTTAAATTCTAGAATTCTTTTCGTCTTGGAGACACAGAAGGTGAAGGGGGGCAAGCTTACCCGAAAGCTGCGAGCTGCACTTGGAGTTGCCTAGGGCCGGATGCAGCTCGCAAGCCGCAGTTTGGCCACCCCTGATATACCGTAATATCCCGTAAGATGCCCCACCCCCAAAAGATAACTCACCCCTATTAATGCGTTAACATTAGAACGCTCGTTTTGACGAAAATCCTGTGGCGTCTGTCAATTTGCCAGTGCCGTAGAAAGAGAGAGGGTGACATGTGCGACGCTCCCATTGGTTCGAAGCGCTGACATCAGCATGTATCACCGTCTTCCTCTTCCCAGTGCTGACAAACTGACAGACACCGCCGGGTTTTCATCAAAAATGACCACTTTCGTTTTCATCAAAGAAGCGTCGCACAGCTGGCACGGAGTCAGAGAGGAGGCGCCAATGCGGCACGGTAGAATGCAGGCGCGCTCAGTTGCCGCCCTGCCCGTCGCTGGATGTTCTTTGCTCTGGGTTTCTGTAATAGCGGTGCGTGGGCTGTGATGTGTGTATATAGTTAAAAAAATGGATATGGTTCCCCCCACGAGTGATATAGATGCAGTTCCTTCCACAAGTGGTATGGGTGATGTTCTTTCCACGAATGATATGGATGACCGTATCCAAGGGCATCAAGATACTCTGACAGGTAGAGTGCACAAAAGGAATTTAAAAAATTACAGGAAGATTCGTTGGTAAATTCTTAGAACATGTGTTCCCTAGGAAACGCACCACACGTCCCCTTTTGGGAAACGCTAACACTGACCCCGTAATGAAGCAAAAAGTGGCAGCAAAAAATAGAGGAACCAAAAGAGAAAGCCAAAACAGTAAAGTGAAGGGGTCAGCATTAGCATTTCCTTCCTTAAAGGGGCCCTGCAATGACTTTTTTACTGCTTTTTATTTGACACCGAACTTGAGCACACTAAACGTAGTAACTTCATGAAACTTTTTGTTTTTCTAAAATTTTGCTTTATTTTAAAGGTTATAGGCAAATTAAAATTACAAAAATATGCAAAAAATTATCTCCTTCCTGGTTGCTTGAGTGGCCGTAAACTAGAGGAGGGGTAGTGAGCTCATCGAGCGCTCACGGCTGCCGCACTCCGTGTCAACGGCTCGAGGGGCGCCACTAAAGCATGTTCTGGATAGGCTGTATGAGCGGGCAGCTAGGGCGGCTCGCATTGCATTTGCTGCGCGATTAAACACTAATTCGGCGTGACACTTCATTGGCCACAAACGACAGCAAACACGGTGTAAAGATCAGTTCAGAATGGGAGCCACTTCGCACTGTCATACCGCGAAACGGTCAAACAGCAAGGCAAACCTACGCCGAAGGCCTTTGGAACGCTCGGAATCGGTTGGATCGTTGAGTCCGTAAACGACCGCCGCATACATCCGAAACCTTTCTACGCTCTCCGCTCGTCTGAGCCTGATCCCACTATTCCTTTCTAGTATGCGCCACCTTTTTTACCGCTTGGTGGCGGGTATGTCGACGGGTCATTTCTGTTTGCCGGACTTTATAAACTGCATTTGTTTCTTTTCTAATCTAGAATATTGAACAAAAACTACTTTCATAAATAAGTGAAACAGTTCGCGCCACTTATATTTTGTATTTCGACTAAAAAGAAGCTTTTAGCGGCTCTGACCAGTAGTAAGCGCAAGACCTTGCATTTCGCGCGCTTTCGGTACCGTGGGTCACCCTCATAGGTGGAGGAGGTTTCCGCGTCGTCCGGTTAAAGTGTGACGCACTGATATTTATTTACTCTCTCCGTGCCCGCTGGCTTGCCCGAACCCCAAGAGACGTGGAAATTGCAAAAAAGATAAATGCTTAAGTATGATTGCAGGGCCCCTTTAAAAATCCATTAATAAATCTTCCTGTAATTTTTTCTTCACACAATTTGCTATTTTTTTTTGACAGTGGAGCTGTTAAGGGCTAGGTTCCCCAGGATCATGTCCGGTACCAAACAAATGTTGACACAAAACTTTGGACAGCTACTGCCATCTATGAGCGACGGCGGCAACCAGACAACCGGCTCGCCGACGTTGCTCATAGATGGTGGCAATTTTTCCAGATTTTCCACTCTGGTTTTCACCAGAGTGGAAAGGCTGAATTTCTCTAGGCGTCGTCCTAGATGTCATCCTCGAGATTGTCCTAGAAGTCATCCTTGAGGTCGTCCTAGATGTCGTCCTCGAGGTCATCCTTGAGGTCGTCCTAAAGGTCGTCTTTGAGGTTGTCCTAGACATTGTCCTAGGTGTCGTCCTTGAGGTCGTCCCTGAGGTCGTCCTGGAAGTCGTCCTTGAGGTCGTCCCAGACGTTGTCCTTGAGGTCGTCGTAGACGTCATCCTAGACGTCGTCCTTGAGGTCGTCCCACATTAGTACAGCTTTGCTGGTCTTCCTTCTTCACCAGAGTGGAAAGGCTGAAAGGTTTTTAACACAGAACACTAGCTTTTTTTAGTAATTGCAGTTCCCTGGCCATTGATGACCTTGGCCGAAATGGGGTTAGATAGTCACAGCCAGAGATGAGCAAACATTGCTGACTGGGAAGGACAGTTGTCTATGCTTCATTGCCCTCAATGTGAAAACAGGTTTGGCAGGTCACAGAATACAAAAATAGCATTTTTTTTAAGTTTTATTGATCACACACCGACAGTTAACCCAGTCCTCATTTTCATCCAATTTTTTCTCGGGTTATTACGGTAATCTTTTCAGGGACGAACTGGGTAAATGTGTGCATTTTTGCCTGACTTTTACGGGCAACTGTCATTATGAACAGTGTTTTGGGTGAACAGAGGTGTCCATATTAATGAGACACGAGTGTGATGCCTTTAGCAATCCTGAGAAATCTATACATCCATGTTGCCTTAGCTTTCTATGCTAACCTTTTTGCATTGTGGTAGTAGCACAAAGGCTAGACACCAACACATCTCTCTTATGTTATGTCATGTTCGTAGTGTTAGCGGCACTCTTCTGGTCTGGGGAGGGGGCGAGAAATGCCAGGCGAGCCAGGCATTGCTACTATGTAGTTTTTGCAGAAACCAGTAGAAACCTTCCTTTTCTTCCAAATGTTGCAGAGTTGTGTGGACTTGGGCTGCACCCAAAGAATAATGTCAGAATCAGTTTTCACGTGCTTCCTGCACGCTCGGTGAAATCAAAAATGTGGATAGATACCATGAAAAGTGGAAACTAGACACCCTTCTTCCAGAATTGCCTGTGCAGGAAGCGCTTTGCTGTGAATTCCCTGAAACTCGTTGCCAAAAGATTTATCTTATCATTCCATCTGAGCACTCTTCGCGTTGATGATAGAACAATACAATTCACTACTAAAAAGAGTACAAAATTATTTCCCCCCCCCCCCCCCCACAAAAAAAGAAAAGAAAAAAGGAGTATACATGCAACAGAATTTTATATTCTTTTATGCACAGAGCCGTCATTAGCATGCTGAACAGAGTGTAGGCAAATTATGATTTTTGCAGTGACTAAAGCGTAAGCCACTGCTTAGAAAATCTACTGCTTGGGAGCGTATTATTTCTGCAGTGTGATTGATCAATATTTTTTGGCACTCTAACAGTGGTGGCTGTCCGTAAGTTTTTAACTCTACCACACTTTTTGTGTAAGCCATTTTATGTCTGTATTTACTTTTTGACTTCATATATTTTATTATTTCTGGTGTATTTTTTTCATTTGCTAAGATATGTACTGTCATGGACAAAAGAAGCCAAAATACATGATGCATTTTTCATTCACTTTTAATGGAACTGGGGGGCAGTGTGTAAAGTTTTGGGTGTGAAAGTCACTTTTCGATCAGAGGTTTCCATTTCCAAATGAAGCGAACTTCAGTGTTAGGCACTTTCGGTTTTCACGCTCATGCAGGCTGCAGGGTTCCTTTATGATTATTTCTCGGAAAGTGGCCTGCCATGACACATTTGCTTGATAAAAATATGAAACAAACCAAATGATCCAAGGAAGCTGATTGTTTGCTTGGTAGTAGGGCTGCCATCTGTCACAGAGCACATGAAACAATTGTTGAGACAAAAAGGCAAATCAAGCTTGCGGTTGGGGTTATTTGTTGTCTTGGAACAGCAGCACGAGTAACACTTATGGTTAGTAGACACTTCGGTTGGGTGGACGTTACACACTGCTACGTGGTGCACATGAGCATTTTTTACGGAGAAACCAAATTATGGGGAGTGAGTTTTATACATCGGTGTGTGTTGTACAGTAGGAATTAAGTCGTATGTCTGAGAGTGCACACCTTTTACATACATTCTCTTTTAAGATTTTGAGTTTTATGTGTATTCGTAGGAAGTGGCTGTTATATTCTGTTTGCACATGATGCAGGCTTGACATCCATTGCTTGCATGTGTAGTGTTTTAGGACACGGCTTTTTCTCCTTTTTGTGTTTTTTCACAGAAGAAGCCTGAATAGTACAAGTTTTGAGTGATAATTGTAATGCCTTTTCTAATCGAAGGGAAAAAGACACCTGATTAATTAATTTTATATTTGAATCTCCCTCTCAGTGGCTGTGAAAAGCTTAATTGCCATTTCCTTCCCACATTGAATTGCATCATTCTGATGCAGGCCTCGAAGAATTTGCAGTAGCTATTTGTCGTTAGTTTTAAAAAATATATATATATCTTTCATTGCATGTTTTAGAAAATTTTATGGTCCAAGCTATCTCCATTATTGACTGGTGTTGGCTGTACCAAGGCAGAGAAATGAGGTAGAAAGGGAAGCCCACTCACATATATGAACCTTTCCCCTGAGAACTGTTGGGGGAACGAAATGGCAGAGTAACTAAAGAAACTGTAAAAGTTTTTAGAGCTGCCTTTTTGTTTGGGCTTTGCCAACTTGGCAATCCACCGACAGCATAGAGGGCTGTCCAAGCAGGACGAGTTTTTTTACAGTCTCAGCATGTGCTGTACAGAAAGTGGAGGTTTTCGTCCAATCCTAATCCATTTTGCAAGTTTTTTTTGTTTTTCTTTATGCGAAAGGTTTTTATTGCCCGCGTCCTTGAAACGAGGTTTAGAGCATGCCCGTCTCGTGGGTCCGGACAGTCGCTCACACGATCCGCTGCCCGTCGTCAAAGCCTCCACTGTTGTTGTTGGTCCCCAATCTTTCAAAAACAATAGAGAGGCAGAGACAACATCAAGGGAGCGAGGAGGAAAGCCGTGCTGTTTCCATGGTTGGTGTCCAAACTGAAAACGGACGCGTACACTGCAACTTTCGTGTCTTTTGAGAGAAGTGTACGCTTTCTTTGCCACACGCAGCATCTGTGTTTGGACAGCCCTTTAAAACAGCAAAGCACCTCTTTTGGATGCTTACCCTCCAGCATGTGTCGATCGCCTTCCACTGTGCTTTGACTGTGCACATACACTTGAGGCTTCGAAGACACCGAAGCGTTATCGAGGGTAAGACGCTTGTGCCGAAGGCGGGATAATTGAGGCTCCTCTCTGCTGTATTGATCCTGTCAGTTGCTACAGTAACGTCAATGCTGGCTAAGAGTCTCGGCAGGCAGGGTCGCGCCTTCCCACATTGTGCGTGCCCTTGGGTCACGCGCGGAAGGCTGAGTGTGCGTCGGGGTAAAGGCGCAGGAGGATGCGGAGATGCTGCGCTCCCTGGTGGTTCCCCTGGAGGAGGAGATTGGGGCCCTGAAGGACAAGCTGCGCTCTACGGACGAGCAGCTGCACGTGTACGAGGCGGCTTTCAGCGGCCTGGTCCGGGGCCTGGGCTCGGGCTCCCTCGGGGACGCCATCCGGGGCAAGAGTCCTGCCGAGGTGCTGGGACACCTGGACGACAAGGTACCCAAAAGCGGCCCTCATTTCGGAAGTCGGACGTGCCGCCCGTATCGTTCGGAACGACGGACAAGTAGGGTCGTGCGAATGAATTTTCGAATGCTAGTTTCGAATAATAAGCTATTCGATATTCGCATCAAGATGAACCGCGATATTCATACTTTCAAAGTCTTCAACCGCGGCGGGTTAGCCCCGTCAAGTGCATTTCTCGGCGAGCACGTGAGCATTGCAGGGAAGCAACACCCGCAGAGCTCGACGGCAAATGCTTCGGGGGTATTTCTTTTTCGCGGTACAAAAGCGCACTCAACGGGGCTAATCTGCCGCAATTATGTAAGAGTATATGTTAGGCAGCTCTGTCTTGGCAACCTGCATTCATCATTCGTGGTTGCCTTTTTTTTTTATTGTGTATAAATTTGAATAAAGAATATTTGTATATGGTAAGCAGGTTTATAAATCTTGTTGATTAGGACTGCTGCAACTGATCTGTCATTTACATGCCACAGTTCATGAATGCAGTTATATTAAAATTAACTGAGCTTAGAATTGGAAAAAGTGGAAAAACAACCTTTACAAGTTGAGCCGAATTTTCGTTTAAGCACAGAGCACGGTACCGAAAGGCTCGGAGAAACTATTTTATATTTGATTAGAAAATATTTGGCCAAAACCGCCATTTGCTTTGAATGCAAAATCCACTATTCGCACACGACTACAGACAAGCATATCGCCGTTGCGTGGCGAAGTTGGCAGCGTGTGCAGCTCTTGTGCGGAGGAAAGGGATTAGACTCCCGCTCGACGTAGTTCTTTCTATTATAACTCTCCTCCCATCTGGAAAGTTCCAGCCCATTCTAGGCTGCCGTCGTGCGTTCCGGTTCGGAATTTTCCCGAACTAACCGGGTGTGTAAAAGCAGCGGTAACGGGCTTCTTAGGGACGGTCGGCCTTGTGGCACCGATGCAGGACACTCTACAAGTTCCGTTTCAGTTTGTAGCACGAGCTCGCCTCATCAAACATGTTTTTCAATTCCACATTCATCCGCCATTTTTACCCGTGACAGTATAGACGCTCGGAAAACTTGGGAGTATGGACAGAGTGGGACAGAATGGAAAGGATACGAACACACTTTTTTTCGTGTCGGTCTCCATTTGCATTTTTTGTTTCCGGGGCATCGTGCACCGAGGCAGTCTCAGCAGCTCTGAGACAAAGCACCATCTTACGGATCCCTGGTTGGCGAGTTTGAATCCCGGCCGAGGTGCCTTCGATTCGACAGAGGCTCGTTGCAGAAACACGCAACCGAGATTTCAGTTGCACTCGAAAAGATCCTCGGGGGATCCAAATGAATCCTTAATCCCCCTCCGGGACTTGTCGGATGCCCTTTGTTGCTTTGGCACGTAGAACCCCCAAATTTGGATCGCGCACCGAACTGGCCCAACGAGGCAATCGACGTGGCGAGGGCTGCACTGCTCGGCAGAACCAGTTCATTGGTGCAAGGTGTACGTGCATGTGCGGCAGCTGGTTTTGGCAGGCCAGTGACCGATGCACCGCCGGAGAAGAGTCTCTATGGGGCTTTCGTGTTGTATGCTTGAACATCATGGGTAAAAATAGAACTTTATTGTTGAGAATGTGCTATCTTGTGCCCCCGTCAGACTGGCTAATTTAGTGTCGCTTGAAGCTAAAAGTTACCGTCTGGTACCGCACAAGTGACACTGGGGGCTGGTGTCATTTGTGCGGTACCATATGGTAACTTTTAGTGTAACTCATTGAACTGTGCACTGGACTTGGGGTGCGTTCCGTGAACTCGCTACACTCGATCCAGGATACCGAGTGTGTAGCCTCCATAGCAGCATTTCAGGAGTTAAGAGAAAACCTAGTGGAAAACAATAAAGCTGCGTAAAATGAATGCATTTTTAGAGAAGTACTATTAGATATGCTCTTGTTTTGTGCCAACAAAAAGTAATACATCGCGGAAAAACAAGTGGCTAATCTAGCTTGCATTTGATTGTGCAACGACGCTCTGTGCCCATTTTTGGTTTTCAGAGACGAGCCGAAGAGGTACCGCTTAAGCGCGAAACCGTAACCTTTAAGATTGTAGCATGGAGTCGGCCGCAGCATTGCGAATCCTAAAGTCGCCCATAATGCGAGCAGGAGACCTTTGCTGTGATCAGACTGTGGGAAGACCACCTGGAAGACCCTGTAGCACAAAAATCTTCCAGGTGTGGAAATAATATCTGCTTCTTACTTGTCTCGGCTTGTGATGGCTCACTATTTTCATCAAATTGGCATAAAGCTTTCTAATTAATGCAACAATGTCCAGTATTAACATGTTTTTAATTAGCGTACAAGAAAGATTATTGAGAAATCTGGGTATATATTTTAGTAATTTGCGTCCTTTTTACTTAACTATCATCGTCGGCATCATATCCGAATAACACTAAATTTTTTCGTGTAGCACGAAAGCACTTGAAGTGACATTTGATGCGCTGAACTGCACTCGCTTGAAGTGACACTAAATGAGTCTGTTTGATGGAGGTAATAATCTCATTCGAGAGGAACAGCTTGGACGGTGCAGTGGGAGCACAACGGAAGTCTACCGTCGCGGCATACCAGAGCACACGCAGTCGAGTTTGTCGTTCTCGGCTGAGGGTGATTAGTTGTGCTCTGATTTGGCTAAATTCTACTTGAGTTATTGGGTGGATCCTTGAACCAAGGACGACGAGGCAAATGTGTCATTAGTTTTGGTTGTGGTTCTGCGCATTGCCACTAGGCAAGAAAAATGTGCAGGAAGCGCTTTGAAGTCCTCACTTTGGTGGCTAGACCTCACATGCTGATGGGGTTGGTCTTAGTGTCTGGATGGTGGTTTTTATGCAAGCACTGTGCAATTTTATCGCGATGAAAGGAATTTGTGACCTCACTTTCGGGTCTTTGTAAAAAAATAACTACTTCACGGTGCTCCTGAATTTTCAGGCATGGATGCTGTACAGCTAGTAGAACTCCTGAGTAGTAACATCAGTTTGCCTAAATAACTTTTTTATTAAGTTGTATGTTTGCTTTTACGAAAAATAAGGAACTGTAATTTGTGAAAAGCATTCTTGTCCTCATAATACCATTTCCAATATGCTTGAAGGTATTATCATATTGTTTGCCTCAACGGAACTTTCATTGTGCGAGTTGTATGAAAAATAATGTGCGTAACGGTCAATTATCTTTCCTTCTTTTTGTTAACCGAGGCGTTCGCATGAACGAAAGTCACCTTTCTCTTACGTCCACTATGCTTATCTGGGAACAATTTGGCAGGTCTTCTTGTTTCTTTTCATTATCCCGTGAAGTGACAGATAGCGGCGAGCACCTGATAAAGTGAAACGCCTGGCTGCTCGACAGTATTGACCGATACGCCGTGGACTTATTTCTTGCTGCAAACCCCTTCTGGTCCCTAGTGAGTCAGTCGGGCGGGCAAATACGGCGATTTCAAACACCCCAAACCACATGGGCCTGTTTGTGCGCGGTTCGGGCGGGGAGCGCGGGAGGCGGGCTGCCCTGTCGGGCTTCTCCAAGTGCCCCTGCGCTCTGTGCATGCAGCTGACCAGCCTCTGCCAGGGGCTGCAGGCAGAGAAGGCTTCCCGGAGCGACCTGGAGATGTATGTGGCCGTGCTGAACACCCAGAAGACAGTCATCCAGGAGGACATGGATCGGTTGCGCAAGGAACTCGGCGAAGGTGACTACTTTTGTCTTTTTTAAGAAGCCAGTTTCATGTGACATACTTCCGGCTTGAAATCCCGCCGGACACCTTGTTGGTGAAATTTCGTCGTATGTCTTTCTGTGCACGGGCGGAAACAGTGCTTTCCAGCTCGATCAAGTTTTTTTGCATCGTGATTGAGCATCGTCTGGTGCTTTATTAATGCGAAAGCATTAACTGTCCCATGGAGCGAGCCTACGTCAAGAGCTTTGAAGCCGAGCCAAACGGCAGCTAAACTCCCCTCTCCCAATGGAGCAAAGTGAAGCCGCAATCTGAAGGCTCCCAGCTTTGAAGCCGTGCAAAAAGCCACGCAAACGGCAGCTTACTTCACCTCTCCAAAAAGAGCGAAGTGAAGCTGATTTCTGATGGATCGGCTCCGATTGGCTGGCGCGCGTCATCAAGGAACGAGGCTCCCATTGGCTCTCATGCAGCGTGGTTCCAAAAATCGCCACCGGAGAAGCCCTTTCCGTGGCAGTACAGTGTACGGAGCGGCCCGGTGAGGTGCGGCGGTGCGGGCTTAGTTCCAGAGCCCGCCCGGGCAAACTCCGCAGAAGTTAAACATCCAAGCTCAGCGCGACGCAGCCACATCACGAGAGCGCACACTTGACCATCGGCCGCTACCTCGGCAGTGCCGAAATGTGGCCGTCCACGCCACTAAGCTGCAGACGGAACTAAGGGAGTGGAAGAATGAGCTTCATGCTTTCGCATTCACAACTCATAAGAAGTGCTTAGGTACGTAATGGAATGAAGCAGTGCAAAAGATACAAAAAGGAAGAGACAAACCGGACAGTACAGACCGCTGACTCACACCTAAAGCTTCTTTACTCAAAAAAAGAGTAAGAAAAACACACATTGCTCCAAGCAAACGCACCCACACCTTTTACCCATGGTAGCTAACTACAGCACTCGCTGGACCCTCATTGTCAACTTCAGGCCCGCTTCAGATGGAGCAATTTCACCCAGCAACTTGACGTCACAACACCAGCAACACCGGCCGCCCGCGTTCACACGCAGCAAACGAATTGCTCCGACTTGCCATCATCATCATTAAATTTGATTCTTCTTTCACTATTTAGACGCCCAGCTACGCGCTAAAAACGCATTCTTATACCTTTGAACGGCGTTGAGAATACTAACTAATTTTTCTGAAACTGTTTATTTCCAAAAACGATCCATTCCAAACAAGAACTAAGTCTTCAGCTGTCATCATCACCACCTCAGGGGTGTCACGTGAAAATATTGCATCTCTGATTGGCTGCAGCCGCTTCAACGGTCTTCGAATTGCTCCGAGTTGCTTGCTTGTTCGAGCCGGACCCGATCTCAGCAATTCGCGTTGATCTAGGGAAAGCTAGAGAACAACCTGCCAGCAACCTCAAAATTTCTGGAAAAGTTGCCCCGTCTGAAGCGGGCCTCAGGAATTGCCGTAGTCAGCTACCATGGGTGAAAGGTGTGCGTGTGAGTCAGTGCCCTGTCCTGTCCTGTCCGGTTTGTCTCTTCCTTTTTGTATCTTTTGCACTGCTTTATTCCATTACGTACAGCAATTACCGACTAGCCCAGCTGTCAACCTCATTAAAGTGCTTAGGTGTCCTCACATTTTTTAAATTTTTTATGCATGCCGGTCTTTATTCGAACTTAAAACAAGCCAGCGATCAAGAAGTCGACCCGGTGGCAGCCAAAATGATGCCAGCAGATGCTGGCTTTGAAAGAAACCAAAACTGAGTAAGCTTGGATTTATGCAGCCCAGCCACATCCCCGATCGTACTTGGTCAGTTCTGTCGTTTACGGCGCCACTGGTCATGCTTGTGCATTTCGCTGACACCATAAACAATGCCAATAACTAAGCATTCACGTGTTTACCGGTGTCAAATGCCGCTCATCAACATGGCAGAATGTTACTAGCCGGAAGGGAAAAGGTGTTTCGTGAAACTGCCTCATTTCACAGAATCTGTCTTACTTCTGGTTTCCAAGTCTAGAGCATCATGAAATGTGGTAACAAAAATATGGTAGCCTGTTGTCTTTACAAAAGACTGTGTACCTCAGTGGAAATCAAACCACTCACCTTTTGCACAGTAATCCAGTTCCCTATCTCCTGTGCTAGTAAAGTCGCTTCGGTAAGCTTGGTTATAGCAGCTGGTACCTGCGTATTCATGCTCAAAACACACCAGACATTTTGTGTCTCCGGACTTCGTACGTAGGTTGACGCATTTAAATTTGTTTCCAGCGTCTTCTCAACCACCGCATATACAGTAAAACCTCGTTATAACAAAACGGGATATAACAAACTAATGGATATAACAAAGCAATCATAATTCCCCTTGCTTGCTAATAGTGGGAAGAAATGGACATTGGCTATAACAAACTAATGGTTATAACGAAATAATTACGACCGCTCCTTCAACTTTGTTATTACGAGGTTTTACTGTACCGTAAAGTATGGGGGGGGAGCAGCCCACGCCACTGTCGCTGAAAACTGAGTTAATCTAGGCCTGGGCGCTTGTCTAGTCAAATCGGGCAATTAGTGTATATAATTTTCAGAATTCCCAAGTTTGGGAAATGTTAATAGTAGGCACTTAAACGAAGTTGGCACTTCCACGGCATTTTACAATAAACACGCTTGAATTTCTTTTTTTTTTTTTTTTTTTTTGTCTTCCATTCAGTGGCTTTTTCTATCACAGCCTCTATGCTTTGGTCGGAGTCTTACTTGCTTGGTTAACGAAAGGAAAATAAAGATGCAATTAAAACACAATTAAATGAAAGGCAGTCTAAAATATGTTGTGCACATAACTCGTGTGGCGCATTTGCCAGTGTGCAAAACGGAAAATGCTTCACTTGTCAAGGAGCGTGCAGATAGCGTAAAGATTTTTTGGAATTTTGGGCCGGGAAACGTGCTCCGAGAGTGCCAATGGTCAGCAGTGTTCAGTAGAAGCCATTGCTTTTAAAGATTGTGGAGCTTTTGTCGAGGCTTTTTATTTTGGCATTAATTAATAAAGAACATTTATGTTGCTTTATAACAAGTTCACTCTATGATAATTCTGGTACTGCCACAATTTGCACATTTTATCACATTTTCTTGAGAAGTGAAGAGCTTGTTCCCGTGAGCTTTAGCAATAGCGTGGCATCCCTGGATGTGGAATTATGAAGACAAGCATTTTAAATTCCAAAAAGGTCTGTTCATATAACCTGCCCAATTGCTTTTAACTGGATTCTGTAGACACAAGACACTCTCATTTCTAAAGCCGATACAAGAAAGAGGGGGCAAACATGCAAAAGCACTCTCAAAACAGTGACCTGTGCCAAGATCTTGTGTATGACATCAACATACTCAAAATCCCAGCACAGAGTGCATTTTTGAGCCCGACCCGCTGGGTCCTTTTCACGAGTTGGATAGATTGGGTCCTTTGCCTGCTGCACGAGAGTAGACAGGTTAAAAGCTTTCAGCCTTTCCACTCTGGTGAAGAAGGATGAGCAGCACAACTGGTAGCCTCTGTTCTCGGTGGTGGCTTTCAGGCGAGCGATCGGCTCTTCTTTCGCAAGGGAATCTGAAGCGCTCAATGCAGTGGAACTTCAGGGGATAGCGGCCTTGCGGCGGTTGTGGAACCATTCGCGCTGCTGCGCACATCGCCGCTCGTTCCGCTCCCGCTCCTCTTTCTCCGAAGAAAGGTTGCCGCCATCTATGAGCGATTGCGGCAACCAGTTGTCTGGTTGCTGCCATCACTCATAGGTGGCGCAAGCTTTCCAGAGTTCGGTGTCATCGTTTCTTTGCTGGTGGACACGGTCTTGGGGAACTTAGCCCTTGACAGCTCCTCTGTAAAAGAGGGTTCGTTAGATTTTAGTAAAATAAGGCAACTATATACGTCACCTCATCCTACAATGAGCCGCAGCCAAAGCTACGGGCAGCCAACTGCAGTCGTGAGCCATATAGAAACCGGTATGACAACCTGGAACACAACTTATGACCGCTCTCTTTAGCATCCCATCCCGCCCAAACGTCAAAAAGGGTCCCGAAATGGCAATGGATGACGTCGCAGAAGCTGACTTGCCACCTTGTCGGATGTCGCAATCCTGGCGGTCAGTGCTAGAAGTTCGTCAAAAAGTATGAGCAAATGCGAGCTTCGCTATTGTCATGAAGTCCCAACTCTCGGCTGCCAAACTTTCTATGGACTGTCAAGCTGGAAAGCGACCTGCAGCAAAACAAGCCTTTGCCACATGCACCACTGCCGCTGCAACTGCACCAGGATCGCGGTCGGTGACGGCATTACGCTTCTGTGATGCAAGCGATCGCTTCTCACGCAGCGAGGGGGCCAATCAACGGCGGACTGTTCTATGAATGTGTGCAGATCGCACGCAGGAAGCAATTGCTTTTGCGTGCGAGCCAGAGGGCGCTGTCGCACGTCCTACGGCGCCCTCTGCTTTCTGCGCCGAATCACACAAAAAAAAAAAAAAAAGAGGACGTCTCGTAGTCTTTGATCTTGTTTTCAATGGGGAAACCTGCCGCGTTATGATGCGATCCTGTTTCTTTCTTTGAATGTTTGGAGCTTGTAGAAAGAATTATGGCCTTAAATAAATGATCTTGGAAACCGCTAGAACCCTTTGAGATGAAAGGGAGTACAGTGCAAAGAGGACGGGCGTTCAGTGCACGCGTCCGTGCGGTGCAGTGTGCGAGCTGCTGGAGCGCGAGAAGCGTGAGCACGGGGCCCTGAAGCGTACCTGGCAGATGGCCAACGATCGCTTCCTGGAGGCACAGCAGGCGCACGTGCGGGACCTGGCTCGGCTACAGACGGTGCTCACGGGAGACCAGCAGCGCCACCTGTCACAGCTCAGGCGCAGCGAGGCACCACACGCCGGTGCTGCCGCCACGCTGACCACCCGGGAAGGGGCCCCCGCCACCGGTGGGTGCCATCGTAGCCTTTTTTTACGCCGTTATTAGCAAGGTTCTGCAGGGGATGCCAGCAAGTGCTTCGTGTAAGGCGGTGGCCGAAGAAATATAGCGGGAAATACTGGTCGCTACATTTAGCAGAAAAATGTTAGTGTCAGGTGGCGCTATGACATCTCGCAGCACTGCAACATCACTATTCCCCCATAAAAGTTTGCAGAAAATTATACTTTGCTAACTTGAGTTAGAAAATTTGTCTGCTAAGTTTACCAAGAATTTAGTATGAAGTGACATCACAGTGTCACGTGGCATCACGTGAAGTCACGGTGTCACGTGAACACCCTCCGCTCAATTTATGCTAAATTTAAATGCCGCAGTGCTGCTGTGCGTTGCAGAGTGTGCCACGCCTACCATTCACTCGTCGGACGCAGCAAGAATTTGGCAGTTTTTTTTAAGCCCCACCCATACGATTGTGGAGTAAATAAGTGGATGAGACGTAGAAATTCACCAGTTTTGTTTCTCCCGTATCGTGAGTGGGAGTCATTTCTTTGGCAGACGTGCTGAAATAACCCCACTCGATTCGTGCAGTTTGAAGTGGTGCATTTCATCCTCAACCACACAAAAATGTGCGTGTTACGAAACCGTAGGAGCGACTTTGTCACTACACATTTCAGTTAGCTCTTCCCACAAAATTGACATAAAAATTTGCCAGTTTTGAAACTCTTCAGAACATTTTTTTCTTTTTTTTTTTTATGGTAATGCGCCGATATTACTAGACGCAGTCGTTATTTTGAGTTTCAGGAATGGGTCATTTAATGACGTCGTACAAATATTCAGAATATACCCGGCAGGTGGCATTTAAGATTTGATTTCATTCTGCGGAGCATTTTCCCAAATCGAAAGGTCTCGGTTGTCCCGACGGCACCCGGAAAAATCGCGAGAAGGCACCGTATTAACTTTTGCCGCCACCGGCTCGTTGCACCGACGCCCTCCGTGCCCCGCCCAGGGTCCGAGGGCCGGCCCCCGCAGGCGTCCCGGGAGTCCCACTCCTCGGAGCAGCAGCATGCGTCCCCCCTGCGGTCCGGCAGCGACCTGCCGGGGAACAGGTTCGGGGCGCTGGAACCCCCGCAGTTTGCCAGGGCAGGAGGACGGCTGGGACGGGCAGACGACGACGTGAGTCTCTGGCGTGGAGGTAGGAAGCTTCTGGAGGCGACACGAGGCCATCGGAGGTGAAGCCGGAAGTGTGAAGGGATGCGCTCCCAACGACTACCAAAACCAAGAGACGCCATTGGACGAAAAAGAGAGCCGACTCAACACCGTGACGGTGACTAAAACAGCCGTCGAGTCGGCTCCCCTCTTCGTCCAATGGCGTCACTCGGTTTTGGTCGTCGTTGGGGGCGTGACCCTCCACACTTCTGGCTTCACCTCCGGTGGCCTCGTGTAGCCTCCAGAAGCTTCCTACCTCTGCGGTCTTTAGTGCAGCTCCCCACGAGTACGGTGCCAGCAAATACGTCTCAGACTAGCGCGTTTGTTGCGTCCAAAAAGCTGATCTCTCGACTTGGGCTCAGCGACGTGGTGAATCTGTCGCATCGTCGCCGCCTGCAAACCCGGCAGCGTCCCAGCGGCGGCTGTGGATGTGGCGGGTGCCCGTCCCGCCGCGTTCGCTGGTACTCTTAATGCAGAGTATTTTGTGGGTAGTTTTCTATAAGAGAATTGTCACGAACGAGCATATTAACGAGGGACGTGCAAAGAGCATTAGAGTATACAAAGTTTATACGTAAACTTTGAGCCCCGGCGGGGCCCCCCAAGCTTTTAGCGCAGCTGAACTTGGAGGATAAATGATTAATTAGCATCCAGATGCGCCGGCAAGAGCGGCAAGTTTTGGATGGAAATGATAATAAAGATAATTAACATTAAAAAAATTGAACAATTATAAATGAAATAATAAATAAAACAAAAAATATAAAAGAAAATAAAAAAATATATATATAATAAAATTAAATAAAAATCTAGCACAAACGACATGGGGGGTGGGGCCTTTGCGGGACACAGTCTGTGTTCGCTGGTCTTTGTCAGCATGATAGGGCCCGTATAATTGTTTCCATAACTCTTACAACCAACTGCCAGAATCGCGACATCCGACAGCGCTACACTTGGGCTTTTGCGACGTTATTTGCCGTATTTACTCGCATGATGAACGCACCACCCCCCACAACGATCGTCGGTAGTTGGATTCTTATCTCTTTCCCCGCGCGTAACAAGCACATTTTTATTTTTTGGCTCTGCGAGTCTCAAACTTCGTTCGATTCAGCCAGCCATCGAGTCGAGTGAGCCAGAGAGCAGCCGGGCCAGGTCGAGCCGAGCCGAGCCAAGCATGGTGGCACACACACGCGTTACGATTGTTAGTGCTAAGTTGCAGAAGCGATCGACGGCGTAATTCCAAGCGGCGCACATGGTGAACAAAGGCGGGGTTCAGGAATCTCCCCACCCCCGGGAACGTTCCCACCTTCAGACGCATCGACGTCAACACACACGCCATCGTCTGCTGTCCGCTTTCGGACGACGAAATCGTGAAAGTGGTTAGGCCTGGGGACATTCGCGTTGCTCCCCTTGTCAAGGAAGCTTCGTGGGGTGCTCTGTTTTTCGCAAAAAGAACGCAAAGACACCCTAATGAAAGATACAATAGTAAGGGTGCAGGCGAGCTGGTGGATGTTAACCATGTTGAATATACCTGAGACTGGGGTAGAAAAACATAAAAGTCGAAGAAACAGAACGGGACAGGACGACGTCTCAAGAGACGTCGTCCTGTCCCGTTCTGTTTCTTCGACCTTTATGTTTTTCTACCCCAGTCTCAGGTATATTCAACATGGTTAATACCCTAATGAAAGGTTCGCGATTTGTGGAGCACAGTTCCTGCGGTGCGCCCGCAACCGGCTGCAGGTGTGCCTCCATCGGCGGAGACGCGCCACAGTAATGCCTCCGTCAGATGGGCACACGAAACAACATTTACTCAAAATGCGTTAATGCGCAAAATATTATTACCCCGCATAAAAAACGCACCCCCCCCCCCCCCCCCCCCCCCCCCCCCCCCCCCCCCCCCCCCCCCCCCCCCAAATACACGTTGAGTTTTGGGAAAAAGGCGCATCCATCGTGCTAGTAAATACGCTGTTACCCCTTCGGGACCACTTTCGACACACGGGCGAAACGGGATGGCAGACGCACCGTTCGGAGATGCATTTCGGGCACCGTACTACAAATATGGCGCCAGGAACGCATCTCCAACTCGTCTGCCTAGCATCCCATAGAAGGCATTGACCGGGTGCCACTTTTGAGGCGGACGCTCGGAACGAGCTAGCAACAGTAGCTCGCTAATACAGTGAAACCTCGTTATAAAGAAGTTGAAGGAGCGGTCGTAATTACTTTGTTATAACCATTAGTTTGTTATAGCCAATGTCCATTTCTTCCAACTATTCAAGCAAGGGGAATTATGATTGCTTTGTTATATCCATTTGTTTGTTATATCCCATTTTGTTATAACGAGGTTTTACTGTACTGGCAATCTCGACGGTGCAGGATGCACGTCGCAAAAGAACTGCGGAAGGTCGCTGTCGGCGTGCACTCGGCAGTCGCGTGCACAGATGTGGCCGCCGGCGAACACTCCCCATACTCCTTACCGATCAAAAATGGTTTCAATTTGGCCAGATATGACGTCACGGGGCACTGCACATCACGCCGTCGGAAGTCGCGATATCGGCAATCGGTCGTAGGAGTTCCGGCAGAACGTACGAGTAAACGCGAGAGCCGCCGTCGTCGCAGCATCTCAACTCCCGGCTGCGGAAGCTTCCAAGGACCGTCGAGCTGGAAGAAGAACCCGCAGCAGAACGGGCGTCCACCGCATCGCGGCTGGCAACGGGGCGACACTTGCGCGACGTCGTCGGGCGAAAGTCGAGGGACCACATTTGAGGATGCGATAGAAGCACCGGTCAGTGACGCGCTCCGGACTCTGTTGTACGAGTCTAGGTTTTATGGAAGGTAGCAGTAATAGACCCCCTCCAAAACCAAAACCAAGTTTGACCTTCCTGTTCATGCGCCGTAATGTCGGTCTGCCCTCGGGACGTGGGTTTCGTGATACTAGACTGAAGGTTTTACAGTATTTGCGAGATGAAATCTGTGCACTATCTACGAGCAATGGTCGTCTATAACGTTGTCGTAAATATTTAGGAACCACAGTGAAAGAATTTATTAAAAATTATTAAAAAATTAATATGCAGAATAAAAATGTTTTGCGGCTGCCCAACGGGCAGAGCCAGCGAAACATGTTCTCTCATTGTGAGCAGCCACAAGCGAGCACAATGGCTCGCTCGTGGCATGCGCATTTGCATCTCGCCGAGATGCAAACGTGTAAACCAACCGGCGATGCTAAGCGGGTTTCTGAGAATTTTCATTTATGGTCGCGACTCAATCTACTGTCTCTAAGCATTCTAACAAACCCGAGACCAGATTGATACTCATCCGATTTGCTCGTTAGAAAAACGGGATTGAAGCTCAGGACGCTCCCATTTTTCTGCGATTTGGAGCAGAAACCGGAGGGCACCATCAGACGTGCAACAGCCAATTGCGAGCAACAGCTTTCTGTGCGGCAAGGGGGCCAACCAACTGCTGTCGTGATTTTTTAGTGAATGCGATTTACGGGCTGGAAGCAATTGCTCGTGATTGGCCGTCGCGCGTCCGACGGTGCCCCCCTGGTTTTTGTGCTACTTTGCCAAAAAAACTGTTGTGTCACGACTTTTGATTCTATTTTTTTAAGCGGTTTCTGGGTGCCCCCCAGAAACCGTTTGAGTGCCCGTATGAGTCCCCCAGTTCGTCGTGCAAGTCGTCCAGCCAGAGATGATGGAAGTTCCCGTTGCGGGGCCTCGCAGCGGATGCACAGCTCCCCGGCCAACCTGAATGTGAACAAGCCCCCCGCGGCGGCACTGCTGGGACCCCAGGAGCAGGGCCACCACCGGCGGTCCCTGTCGAGCTCGGACCTGCCCCTGCGGCCGGAGGGGGTCGGCCCCGCCCTTGGGCCCAGGGGACGCGCGGACGACACCCAGTCCCTCGGGGGGGACTGCACTTCCGTCCCCAACACCTCCGTCAGCCTCACCAGGGATCAGCTGAGTGCACTCTCTGGTGAGGGCACCTTCCTCCTTTGCTGCAGTTCATCGGGCGGGTGACATCAACGAGGCTCTCCGCCGACGAGGAGAAATGAAAGGACACGGGAGATGGAGCGCCACTCGCAACCTGTATAGGGCGGTTTCACGAAACACCTTCTCGGTTCCAGCGAGTCACATTTCTCCATGTTGACAAACAGCGTCCACCACTTTCCCCGTTAGTTTGCATACGCGACCCCAAGCAACGGCGATCAGTTCTGCCGACAACAGAACCCGGTAGTACATGTGCCAAAAGGTTCTTCGATATGGCTGCTGTCAATCGCATCACTGTAATTGTGATGGCGGGCGACGTTGCAACGTGAAGTACTGCACAAACGAAAATGGTAGAGGTGTGCGAATATCAAAATCTTTCGAAGCGAATCGAATCGAATAATAAAGGTTACGAATCGAATCGAATATTTTCGAATACGAATAGTAGTTCCAAATAAGGATATATTTGAAAACAAATAGTTTCTATTTGATGTGAATTAAACAAGAATGCTTAATAAAAAAACACAACTGGAATTTTTTTTCAACATACGTTTATGAAAAGGTTACTTTTATTGCAATAAGAAAAATGTTCCACATGTGACTGTTAAAAAAAACAGATGAAGAAAGATTAGTCAGTAAAATACCATTCCTTGAGTGAGGTTAGAGAACGTAAATGAAATTGCAAAAGTGAAGGCGGGTCGGCAAGCCACAACGCAGTCGGAGATCGCATCGCAAACGAAAGGAGGCACTTGAGCGTAAACGCAAGTACACAAGCGGTGGCGGGTCCGCAAGCCGCAATACGAAGTCGATGATTGCGTCTCTACTTTGTGCGATATCTTTTTACGCTCGTGAATGCAACCACGCAAACACAAACGGAAGTACACAAGCGGAGGCGGGTCGACAGGCCACAGCAGAGTTTCATATTGCGCGATAGCGCTGTGCAACCGCACTGACTATGCACCATCTCTTTCCGTGTGCAATAGTTCTGTCCATAGAGGGCGCCACAAAGATGCAATAAATTAAGAATATGTTGTTTGTTTGTTTTTTTGGCGGGGGGAGGAAGTCTCACTTTTATCATTGAAAACGGGTAGAAATAAATAACAAAAGGAATACTGGCAAACTGATAAACCGGAAAATCAAGTGGAAAATAACACAAGCCAGATATCACCGATAGCCGAGGTGAGCCATAAATCCATATCCGAATCCATAGCACCTTGGCTACTGTAGTCACTGTAGGTACGAAATCATGAATATATGGTTGTGCTACATTAAAAATGAATGTGGACAGGAACGTATACAAGACGTCTCGGGCGGACGCCCGAAACGTCGCGACGATGCATGTGCCGTTGCAAACCGTAGTCCTTCATCCTATCTATCGCAGCGTTTGCACCACGACCACTTAGCCAACTCTGCAATCCGGACATCACGGCAAGCAAAGGACAGATCGCCCTACCGCGTGCAAATAACTTTCCAATCCTTCCTACAAAAAGAAAAAAAAAGATACTTAGGTTGGTTGTGTAGGTTTCCCAAGCTCGAAACCATACTGTGCAGTCCAAACACAAAACAGAGAACTCGACCGCAAGTTGACATTAATCAATGAGTTCCGCGTTATTCATAGTTTTCGAAGTATTCAAAGAACTCGAATAGTTCGAACAGCGAAAGGGCGAAGCGAATCAAATCGAATAGCAAGCATTATTCGCGAAGTATTCAAAGTTTCCAATATTCGCACACCCCTAGAAAATGGCTAAAATCTATGTGCTGTTCTGGGTTGCCGGGAGTTCTTCAATCGTGTATGTGACTAATTTTGTGATCATAATTTTTTTTTTTTATTTTTATACATAAAATATGAAGATACAAGGATAATAAAAACCACTATAAAACCAGAAGTCGCATATGTTTTCTAAGTATTGCCGTTTTTTTTACTTGCATCTCTCCTTAAAGGGGCCCTGCAATCATATTTAAGCGTCTACCTTTTTTGCGGTTTCCACGTCTCTTGGGGTTCGGGCAAGCCAGCGGGCACGAAGAGAGTAACTGAATATCAGTGCGTCATGTTTCAACCAAACGACGCGGAAACCTCCTCCACCTACAGGGGCGACCCGCGGTGCCGAAAGCGCACAAAATGTATTGTTTTTAGTTGTGGGCTTCCTACTAGCCAGAGCCGCTAAAAGCTTCTTTTTAGTTGAAATACAAAATATAAGTGGTGCGAATTGAATGATTTACCTATAAAAGTAGTTTTTGTTCAGTATTTTAAATTAGAAAAGAAACAAATGCAGTTTATAAAGTACGGAAGCAAGAAATTACTTGTCGACATACCCGAGACGAAGCGGTGGAAAAGGCAGCGCATACAGGAAGGAGTAGTGGGATCGGGCACCTACGAGCAGTGAGTGTAGAAAGGTCTTCGATGTACGCGGCGGCGCTGCGGTTGTATACGGGCTCGAGGGTCCGACCGGTTGCGAGCGTTCCGAAGGCTTTTCTTGCAGGTTTGGCCTGCGGTTTGGCCGTTTGATGGTATGGCAGCGTGAAGTGACTCCCGTTCTAAACTAGTCTTTACCCCGAGTTGGCTGTCGTTTGGAGTGTCATGCCGAATTAGTGTTTAATCGTGCAGCAAATGCAATGCGAGCCACCCTGGCTGCCCGCTTCATACAGCCTATCCAGGACATGCATTAGTGGCGCCCTATCGAGCGGTCGGCACGGAGTGCGGCAGCCGTGAGCGCTCGCTGAGCTCACTAACCCTTCTCTAGTTCGCGGCCACTCAAGGAACCAAGGACGTCTTGAAGGAGGTTATTTTTTGCTTGTTTTTGTAATTTTAGTTTGCCTGCAACTTCTAAAATAAAACAAAATTCGAGAAAAGAAAAGTTTCATTAAGTTACTACATTCAGTGCGCTCAGGTTCGGTGCAAATTGAAAACCAGTAAAAAAGTCCTTGCAGGGCCCCTTTAAGCGTTAACCTACAGAATCGTCTCCTACTATGCAAAAAATCCTTTTCTAGCATTTTTCTTTCCATTCCCCTTTGCACTCTTCTGCACCTTTCTTGAAAGGCGCAAGTCACTGAGCTACTCTACAGGAACAAGGAGGGTCTCCCTCTTTTTTTGCATAGAAAGAAAAAATTGAGGGACAGTTTTCTCTTTTTTGGCTGCTCGTCGGGCTTTAATGAGGGATTTGTTTACCTAATTGTTGAAGAGTTCTAAGAGCTCTAGGACTACCATGAGGCAAGCCTTACAAAATGTCATTACGATTGGGTAAGTCTGGAGGTTTGCCTCCATACCGATGCCTGCTTTTTGAATGTGCTGTGGCTACTCTCATACGATCCAAGGTCATGCAATTTTTATAGAATAACTTCCAACACAATAATGCTTTTATTGCTGTTCATAGTCCTAAACATTCTGTTTTCTTTAATAACATTCTCTATCTCACTTTAAGTGATTACACTCACCTCTTATTTATTGCCGTTTATCTCTTCAGATGGGACGTGCATTGGTTTGAGTGTTTACAGTAGTCAGGGAAAACCAGGAAAAGTTGGGCAAATTTTGTTGTGTAGTGATAGTGATAATATCAGTATTACTAGATTGTTCAAATGGGGTTCTAAGCCTCTGCCAGGCCCCACATGATATAACCTCTACTCGTGTATGATACGCAGAACTAGCAGAATCGGTGGTAGCTAAAGAAGTTTCCTTAGACTTCAAAAATTGACAAAATAAGGAACTTTTGGTTGCCATAAGCGCTCGTGCTGCAAAGTGAAAAAAAAAATGTGCATATTATTTGTTTTTGTTTTTCTGCGAATGCACGGCAGACGCAACACCCGAGATGGAAGCCCGCAAGTCATTACTGGAGATGGCACGGATGGAGTATGACGACGTGCTCAGCGTGGGCAAGCGGGTGGTCAGCGACAAGGAATGGCTGCGGCTGGAAGACGAGGTGGGTCAGGTCACTGTTTGCTACACATCGGGTCACGTCGCTCCCTCCTCTTCTATCTACAAATGCAGATTACTGAGGTCTTCGGTCACCCTCGCGTCACTTCAGCGGTGCGTTTATCCCTCGAGCTTTAAGCCTCACTAAAGCGAACGAAAAGGTGCGGGGCATCCTGATTGGAGGCGACGTCTTGTTTTTCCGCTCGCGGCGTAAGAGTGCGCTCGGAAATCGGTACGCAGTCGGCCAATGCCACTTAGAAAACAAAACCTGCGCGTTATGTCACCGCCGGTGGGTCTCCGACCCACCAGCGGTGACGTCAGATCGCCGAGCTCAGATTGGCTCGAGTTGGAAGGATAGTGGGTAGACCTCCAGGTAGCTAGCATTGAGGTCTAATCTCTATTCCACCATCAGAGCCAATCGGAGCTGGGTGTTTCGACATCACCGCTACCCCCGCGCAAGAAGCAAACGAACTTGCGCTCCGCATTGGGTCGGCCCCCGTACGTCGTTGTTGCAACCGCCTTTGTACATTGCTGGCCGGGAACGACTTGCCTCCCGAGTGCAAAGTCGGCAATGCATGGTGTGCCTTCCCCGCAGCTGCAGCACCTGCGGGAGCGCCTGTGCCAGCCGTGCGAGATGTGCAGCAACTACGAGGTGCAGCTGCAGCAGGTGCAGCGTGACCTGGAGCGGCACATGAAGGAGCTGGCCGTGACGCGCCAGGACCTCTCCCACGAACGCTCCTTTCGCCAGGGGCTCGAGCAGCGCTTCGCAGACTCCGCCACCGATGTCCGGCACCAGGCAAGGGCCTCACACCCTATGCTCCCTCCCGCGCTCTCTTTCTCTCCTTCGCTCTCAATCTCTAGTTCTAGCTGCGACGTTAAGTGCTTAGTATTTGTAAGGCCAGCTTTTGGGGTCGATTGTGATGTCACGCCGACGACGTCGCAGTGTTTGCAACAGTTGGTGGCACTGTGACATCACATGACAGCATGCTTTCCTAGTGGTCACGTGACACTGGGATGGTACTGGTCAGCTACAGAGCCGTACATGGAGAAAGTTTGACCTTTAATCAAGAGGTATGGGGGGCAAATAAAGAGGCGCTATTGGCCGAAAGCGGGCTGGGCGTGTTCCAGGGCGCGTTCAGAAATTTGAATGTGACTAACCAGAAGCAAAGAATAATGTCCTAGTGGTGGTTGTAAGAAATGCAATTAATAAATGCATCGGATTAATTCTAAGTGACCGAAAGTATGGTGCACACTCTATTTCGATCACAGTACGTAATCCGTACGCCAGTCGCCGAAGGCCGGGCATCTGCCGTCCGAGCGTTAGGACTCCGTCCATGCAAAATAGAGTCCAAACGGCACATTCATCTGTTCCATCTTTTTGCTTGATCATTATCGAAACATCAAGTGCACCATATTTTCAATTATGAAGAGTCGCTACGTTTACCTCTTTCGCACTTACTAAAAGTGTTTCTCGCTACTGCTGCTAAGGGATTATTTTTGGCTTCTGGTTGGCCAAGAGAGCACATCCAGCCCCCTATCCGCTTCTGGTGCATGCCTTGGCTCTGCCTCCTCCTCCCATTGACCGAACACTCTCTATATACTGCTCTGGTGAGCTATACACGAAAATTTTCTATGTTTTAGTGCGCGTCTGGGGCACCGCCCTGCAGGCATTTCACAGGGACCGTGTTTCAGCAGACATTTTCGCCGTTTCGTAGATGAATAGTTTTTGTGTAGAACTGTCGTAAAAAACAAACAGCACGCCCAAAGAAATTGTGTAGGTTGTGCATACTCTGGCATACCACCGCAATTCCCGCAGTCCCCGCGCCGCAAGCAACCATCCGGTGCCGGGAGTAAAGCACCGCTTGCGTCTGATAGCAATGCTAAAAGAAATGTGCTCTACAAGTGCTATGCATTTATGGCACCATTGGTATATACCAAAAAACGGGCAGTTTTTGACATTTTTGGTGCATGTGTTATTGGCACAGAAGAACTTTTCACTGCTCCTAAATTGACTTTTGACTGCTCCAAGAGCTGCTCCTAAATAAATCGAACCAATCACATTGCTGAATGTTGAGTTGCTATTGTTACCATAATTTGCCAGCATTCGTCTTTGAAGCTTGGTTTTAGTGGTTGTTCTCATATGTTTCAACAATTGGTATACTATTCCAACGTTGTCACCAGTTGGTGGTCTGCCGCGAGCAGTGCGCGGGTAATCCAGTTACAGCCTAAAAATATGGTGTCTTCCACACTCCCGAATGGTCGATGTTATCCCAAATCAAAAGAAGGCGACGAACGTAAAGCTGAAATAAAATGTTTACACAAGGAGAATTTGCACCCCCAAACTTAGAGGAAGGTACTGCGCACCTCGCATCGTCATTCAACCCGAAGCGGCGCATTACTGCCCCTTTTGTACACATGACACATTTGGGGATATTCTGAAGCAGAGCAAACAATGATAGCCTAGAACGGGCTGTAAATTTCCAGAAAAATAAGGATTAATAAAAGAAAGAACTGGGCCAAGCAGAATATGAACCTTGTTCCTCCGCGCGGAAGCCACGTGCGTTGCCATATCCACCGCGCACGTGGCAACGTCCCCTTCGCGCCGTCGGGAAATCGAACCGACACTCCGCGAGACAGCGTAGCCAACATAAGCCGGCTCGGTGCCGTCGCTTCTTCGGTCCCGCAGGTGTGCGAGCTCCAGGAGCGCCTCCAAGCGGCAGAATCCTCCCTGGAGGAGGCTCGTCAGGCGCAGCTGGCGTGCGTGTCGGACACGCGCCACCACGTGTCCCAGCTCAAGGAGCACCTGACCCAGCTCAAAGACAAGGCCCTCCGGGTTGAGCAAGACAACCACCAGCTGCTGGGGCGCTACGTGGTCAGGGCCAGGGCGCTGCAGGACCAGCCCATCAACCTCCCAGACTCCATGGAGGTGGGTGCCAGTATGTCACGCCGCTTGTGGGGGGGGGGGGGGGAGGGTAGTGCTGCCGTACGATGGGAACTTGTCGAACTTGGCTGTCTGTCCACTTTCTTGTAGCGCCCTTGTCTGTCTGCTTCCTTATCCCTGTTTTTTGGTGCTTACCTACATGATCATGAACCAAACGGCTTAAATTGCCACTTTAATTCAGATTTTAAGGTGGAACTTTTTGTTTTCCTTCATTTGGAGAGTGATGGCGGAGGGAAAAGCGACTGAGGTGTCGCCTGGCAAGCCTCTCCCAAGCCCCTTGGGAGCAAAGAGGACGCAAATATATGCAATATTTGTTTTAACAATATTAACGGAGCACAAAAATGTAAAATGGCAGATAGGTGTTAAAGCATGGTCCACACACTTGCGACCGAAGGATCTCAAGAATCTGTTCTAAGCCTCGCGTGATTGCTTACGACTGGCTGTGTAGCAGCACAGCCTGTCGTCAGCACTCGCAATAGTTTTAAAGGGCAACTCCGCTCAATTCCAAATTTTTTGGGCTTATTTGCAATTCCATTTCCCATTTTCCATTTTTATTTGTGTAATCATAATAAAACATCGGCAGATCCGAAACCGAAACTTCGGTTGCACCAGGCAACATTGGTATCGTGTCATCAGAGTCATGGCCACGTCACGTCGAACCACGTGTGACGTTCGTGGGGGGCAAGGTACAGGACACGTGACGCAAGCAGGCCGCTTCGGATGGCGCAAAAAGTGACGGCTCGGGGGACAGGGGGAAGGGGAGAAGACGAAAGAGGAGAGGGGGAGTGGAGAAACCGGACGTGGGGAACAAGTTGGGACAGGTCAAAGGAAGCGAGTTCAAGCGGGAAGACGCGCCGAGAAAAGTGCCAGGGAGCGCGCTGGAGAGCGCGTGGGAAACGAACGCACCAGAGAAGCACAACGGAAAGGCCTCCCGCTGGCGTCAGCGCCCCAGGCCCCAAGCAATGAGAAGCCCGGATCACCTTTACTGCAAGGCCACTCGATAACGTCAGCGCTTCAAGCCCCAGAACCCTGTGAGTGCGACCAGAGAAACACAACGGCCACCCGCTGGCGTCAGCGCCCCAAGCCCCGAACCCTCCGAGCCCTGTGAAGCCCGAATCGCCTCAATCGCAAGGCCACCCGCTGGCGCCAGCGCTCCAAGCCCCTGAACCCTGTGAGCCCCGGAGCCAACTCGCCCACGCACCAGCACAGTGACAAACAGCCTGGGACACCACCTCATCAGAACGCCACAACAATCGGTGAGCTGCGGGCGGCACCAGCACCGACACCCGTTATTATTAAACAGTAAATACTGTTTTTGCCTCGTCTCTCCTCACCTCAGCGTGGGCCCACCACAGCGCGTCTGTGCCTTCCCTACGTGGGTCATCACAGTCTCCTTTATGCGACGGCGGGCGAACGTGGAGTGTCCTCTGCTCCTCAATTTTCGCCAATGTAGTTTGCTACAACATTGTGTGAAAACTTGTGAAAGACACCTCCGAAGCTGGTCAACTTGCAATTCGAGCAGGCAGCATCACAACATCATGGGCCTATTGATCTTTCGACATTCATCGCAGCTAGGCATCGGAGATGCGGCCCGCGCTCGTATCAAACAAAATGTCCTTCTCAAGCTAGAGCAGCAGTGAGACAAAACACACTGCTCCCAGCTCTCAGCTCCAAGGAGCGCACATTCAGCGCAAACTGGCACATCCGTGTTATGGTGATCAAGTGATGCTGTTGAGCCAACACCGGGAGGAGAAACTCGTGACGTCATCGTTCAATTTCACTGTGAGAAGTAAAAACAAACAAAACGTGAGAATGGCGTGGTCATGCCTCTGACGTAGTGGCTCAATGTTGGCTGCTCCAACTCCGTGGCATTGACTGCGCTGATGATTGCGCCTCGCGTCGCATACTAGAGTTGGCAGATTTCGGCGACTTGGCTCATTTGAAAGTTTGCTGGCCAGTTTATTAAATATATAGACGGAATTAGATCGTAATATTTTACACGTGGTCTTCCTATATAATACTGAAGAGGACTGCATAGTTTTCTAATTATCAAAAATGAAGCAGAGTTGCCCTTTAAGAACTGGTCGTGACGTGGTTGGTCAAACGCAAACGTGTGTTCCAGCCTTCGGGGAAAAATACTGATTGTTAAATCCAGATTTTCACTATTCACAATGTTTGCGGGAAAATTTCAAAAGGTTAGGACATGCAAAAAATAAAATATGAGATAACTATACTGCTAAGACCCATGGTATGTTCCTATAAGCCTGCTAAATTTGTTTAAAAAATGGTGCAATAATGTTTGTGGATAAATCGATTTATATGCGGGACCCTCGGAACCACCTCACTCGGAAATGCCGCTGTCTTTGTTCAGTCGGTAACGTCATTCGCCCAACACGTGGCGTCCCCTTGCACGCGCTCACAGACTTGGCTCTCTCGGCGCCCCGCGCTTCAGCTTCCACATTTACCCTCCGGGATTCAAGCGCTTGGTTTCCAGCAGGGTGTCGAACCGAAATTTTTATCGGTTCGGTTCCGGTTCGGGTTCACGGCTTTCGGTTCGGTTCCGGTTCAGTTCCGGGGAGCCAAAAATAACGGTTCAAACCGGTTCGAACCGCTAAATTGAGAATATATTTTCCGCGTTCTTTTGGCAATATACACTATTTCCGTTGTGAAACGATTAACTATATAGTTTCTTCGATCGTCCGTGCAATTTACTTTTGTTCTTAGGTACCAGAAATATTAAATTCAGTTATTTAATTTTGACGCAAGAGTAGAAGAAAACCTACATTAACATACATAACGTCGTGTTCATACGACTCAATATATATTTGTTTACGAGTAAAATATATTTTGCCTGAATCAAAATGTTTAAGTACAAGAGTAAAGAGTTGAGCTTGTTGGTACATACCTGTAAATAGATCAGCTTCTAATTTAGAATTATACTGTATTTTCTTGTCCTTTGTTCGTGTTAAAGTAAAATTCTAAAGTTCAAGCTGATCTATTTACACGATATAAAATGTTGTCGCGAAGTGTGGTAGGTCGTCTAAAATACCCGTGATTGGTACAACTTTGTGTGTCAGTATTAAAAGTGAAATCGTGTCATTGAACTAAGGAATTAATTACATCACATAAAAATATGAAATGAGCATGCACCTTGTGGCCATATATCATGAAATAAGGTTTACGAAATACACTTCACAATGTATATATATATATATATATATATATATATATATATATATATGTATATATATATATATATATATATATATATATATATATATATATATATATATATATATATATATATATGATGACGACCCAAGTGAGTCAAGAGCAATGAAATTTTCGAAATGTAACAAAGTTTTAGGATAACTCCTTTCAGTCTATCTTTTATAGAAACACCGAGCGGCAATCCAAATGCCTGTTGTTCTTACTAAACATTGTTTACACTCAGCACCGCACGCGTGCGACTAATCATGGAGCAAGGAGTAATTGCAATTGTTCACTCTAATATATATGCACCTTCGCACTCAGATCGAATCTGGCCCAAAATAGCGCTTGCCCAAGTGGACATTTTCTTATACAGAATAAGCTGGCATAGCCTGGCTGTTGAGGTTTGTAGTTGACAAGATGCCGGACAATTTAATTTGCAAATGAGCATCACCCTTGCTAATTGATGGTTTTAACACGATAGCGTTAACGAGCTCATGTCGCAGAAAAACCGATGTTGGTGGCGTGACTGGAAAATTCTGATTGGTCGATAGGTTCATGACGTCAGAGCTACATACCCTAGCGCAAGAATTTCAAACAACCCACAGTGCTTACGTGAAACGTGACATCACGCGTGGAATGAGGGTGATTAAAACATGATATGTAATGCGAAATAAAGGTCACCGTATGTTTCAAATGATTTCACTTTTGAAAGTAATTCCTTTGCCTTAAAGAAAAAATTTTAAAAATTTAGGCAGGATTCGAACCCACAACCCTTTAGTTGCGAGTCAGACGCTTTTCACTAGGCCACGCGAGGCCTAGTCAACGGGCCTCGTTTGCGATGCAAACGAGGCCCGTTGACGCGATCGCGTTCCACTTTTAAAGGCGAAGCTTAAGCGTCCTTCAAAATTTTTTTTGTTTGGTAAAACGAAGTAGTATTTCACGTTCTACTCGACAAGGCAGCTACTTAATTGGACACTTTCTGACGGTTTGCGTGCGTAATCATCATAGTTCCACCGCGCGCCCCTGTTTACTTTCTTTTCGTCCAGCCCACAGACACATAAAACTGATGTTCACCAGATAAAAAAGGCAATAACAGACTTCTATATGTTTGAGAAGTTATATGGGTGAGGAACACATAGTTATTTAAATTAGCTTCAAAATCAGAAATGTATGTAAGGCCGTCCCATATCACTTACAACATGCCTGTCGAGGATAAAAACGCCGGAAAAGATTGGCAGGACCGCTTTCAAATAATTTGGGGGGCATTGCTTTAAAGTGGTCGGCCCTCTATTTATGTTGCCAAATATTCAATTAGTAATTAAATATATCTTATATTGATAAAAAAATTTACTTTATAAAGTTCACATAACCGCTTGAGACTGACTTGGAAGGACGATACTCGAAGCTACGCGAGCTGTGGAGTCTACGTAAAAGTGTTTTTCTGTTTGCTGATTGGCATTGTGAAACATCTGGTTGCAGGGTACGCTAAAAAGGACTCTATGCTCACATGATGAATTGGAAGTCAAATACACGAAATGTTCAAAAAGAGAGAGATAATTAACGTTATGTTTTCCAAATAATCCCTTCCAGAACGCCTTACTGCAAAAAGAGATGCGTAAAGATGCGCGCAATGATATTCATGATTTTACATAAATAGCGCGAAGGACAGACGAAGATTCTTGAAATCTTAGTATATTACATTTCATCAGCTTGCATGAGCTCGAAACTTCGGAAATACTGCCTCGGGAGGCAAATGTTATATTCGGTTTTAC